GCTGTGTGGTCATGTTGTTTATGGCCTGATTGGAACAGATGGCCCGACTTTTCAACGCAGTTTTTTTTGAAAAACTTTTAAGCAAGTTGTTCTCCGTCAAAAATGAACGATTTTTGAGGGTTGGAGCCAGATAATTTCAAAAATCCAAATTCGTGCATTACCGCGCCTAACGCGAAAGAAATTTTAACGTAGCGACTTTGCAAAGCAATTTTTGCAGCGAAAATTCACATAGATAGTTTTTGAAACAAAAAGTGTCTATGTAAATTGAAGAGTTCATTTTTTCCATACAAAACGTGTCACCCTAGATTACACCGATAGTAATAAAAATCAAAAATAATTCATCCATTAAGATAATCCGGAAATGAGCACCTGCAATAGAAAAGGAATTTAATGGCGGTTAATAGAACGATAAGTACCCATAATTTATCTTCGATAGCATCAAGGCAAAGTAGACGTGTGCAGAAGGCAACCCATATCAGTGTGCACGAGGTCAAGAAGATTGCTTTCGCAGGGAAACCAGACTGAAAGAATGCAGTGGTTCATAGATCGAGAACTGCAGATACGATTAAGTATTCAACGATGACGAACGGCAAACAAGACTTTATCTTTGTGTAACAGGTGATTATAAAAGCTTTTACCAAACTTAAAAAATACATCTTTCGTCCAACGTTCCGGATATGTGTGATCATTTGAACAAGATATAGGGTGGCACCAACAACGGCAATCACATACAGTATCATATAGAGCTGAAACGAACGAAAAAGGACACCAGAATATCGGAAAGACGAAACTTGGAATGCCTCTAGAGTTTAGACTGACCAAGAAGAGAGTAATGAAGTTGTCTGTGCTTTGCAAATCGCATAAATGATGCTATGACCTGTGGATCGTTGCAATAAGTCATTTTTTACTTATTCCCGTGTAAAGACGTGAGCCTCAGAAAATCGAACTTTTTTGCATCTAGTGTCACTTCTACCGAAGAATTTTCAAGTTTCTTCATCTCAACGCCCACGCAATTTGCTACGTGAGATAAGTGTGAGCGATTAAAAGTGCAATAAATGAAAAATCAATCCGATCTGAACAACTGAAGCAAAGACTAAATGCAGCAAGTTCATTAAAATGTAATTTCTTTCTACTGAATAAATGAGTAGCAACTAACATGCGTTCTCGTATTCAGAGCACTCATATCAATATGATGCAGTTCAAATAGGCAATACAAGTCTGAATTGTTCATACGTTGTTCGAAAGGCGTTGGTCGAAGTAAAAAACACCAAAAAACAGTAGCAAAATAAACGATAAATGTCGCTAATTGACCAAACAATCTGCAAAAAACGGACCAATTATCTCGTCCAAGGCGAAGTATCAGTCTGTATCATAAGAAACGTACACTTTTCGGCCGTAAGTGACCCACTTTTTATGCACCAACTTCTCGAGCAGATTTGGTAATAAGCTGAGATGCTCAGTGGAATTGCCGTAAACGACGATTGCGAGCGCTGAATTGCGATTGAGACGACCGCTTGAGGGCTCGATGGAGTCGAGGTGTTCCAGTGGATATACAGCTGACATCATACCACCATACGTCCAGCACACTTCTCGTTCTTCTTCCACTATTCTTTCGAACATCTTTCATGGATATCATTTCATGAATAATTCAATTCTATCTTACACTCGATCAAATAAAAAAAATTCAAACTTAGGAAACGGTGAATGTGAGAGCCAACGAACGCAATCAATTAACCTCTTTTTTAGCCAAATAGGCAGCTAGTGTAAGTGGCGTTAACTTGCGACGATTTTCGATATGTAAATTTGCACCTAAACTTAACGCCAGCTTGAACATCTCCTAAAATAGAAGCACTATCGGTTCACTGACTTCAAAAGAAGTGGAATTTGCTAGCAATGCAGAAGTCGACAAACTTTGAACATGAGGAATGTTTCCATTTCACACAACTATCAGTTGACTGATATGGTTTGCAATGAATGAACTGAGCAGATGCATGGAAATATGAGTGTGTCGTGGAGAAGTGAGTGAGTGACTGACCCATTTTTGATGAATAGTTGCAATATGCAGTACGGTGTTACCATTCGAATCTTGCCAATTGGGATCAGCACCATAGGCAATTAGCATACGGAAACATTCACTCTGCGAAAGACATGCGGCGAATGAGAGTGGATATTCACCGAAATATAAATTCCTTCAAAAAGAGTTCGATCAAACAAACAAGATTTGATCACTTCTACCAAAAAAAGAGCATCAATCGCTTGAATTTTCTCATACAAATACATGAAATATCGTGAGGATATGATTTATTGACGGACAAACGATGAGGAAGGCAAATCCATACGTGTCACTGACCCATCATAAGTAGTATTTCGACTCAGCAGAACAGCCTCCTGATCCGGTGAGTCTGTGCGTGAGTTTTTTTGGTCATCACATGTGAAAAAATTGCCGCATGTTCGTTGTGAGACATCAGCGCCATTTTTGAGCAAATAACGAACAATTTCTGGATCTTCACTGACAATGCCCATGTGCAGTGCTGTTTCGCCTAGCAACAACAGCACCAAAAATTAATTTCACAAAAAACTTCAATTTTGGACAATAATGACGATGTCAATTTCGAACTTTTCCAGTTGATTTCACAAGTTCTTCATCGATATGATGTTCTTCTCAGGAATCGTCGACTGCTGTTGAATAGAGACAAGTAATTCAGCAAGATGATCATTACGAAATGAGCAGAAAGCATCATCAAAAAACAGTCACCAACAACAGCAATAACAGTTACCTTGATAATACAGTCACTTACCGTAGTATTCGTCACAAAGATAAAAATCGTTGATAATTTTCGGAAAATGATGCAATAAGCGTTGCGCTAACAACTTCATATGCTCCGGAAGACCAGATAAGAAGCAAACATGCAAAAGTGTTTCACCAACTGCACCACGATGATTCAGCTGCCAACACACAAACTTTTTCATACCACATCCTCGTAATGCGAATGTATTTCCTGCCCAACAAACGTTATGTTATATGAGGAATGCATTCTGATCGCAGCTTATCATAATAGACCAGAGATATGAACGAAAGAGATATGAACGAACCAGTCCGTTCTCTATGTCGTTGTGCGATCACTTCTTCGATTCGAAGCATTTTGCCGTCACCACCGTTATACAATAATGGTTGGATTCTCTACAAAAATAGAATCAATCTGCTTAAGTGCAATCGAATAACAGATACCTCAATGATACGTTGATCCAGAACAGTGCAATTGTTGATTCGAAGTGCTTCTTTTGCCAGTAATGCCAATTCACCATTACCACTAACATCACCAAGTTTATAGATAACGTTATCACGATTATCAACTTGATCCTTAATGCCAGCTGTAACCGTACTCGACGCATTTCCCATCACATCAGTGCTCGAACCATCAACCAATCGAAAATATCAAATATTTTAAAATATCATTAGAAACAACTAAAAATTATCATCTTCATCATATAACCGGCCTCATTAACAATTACAAATTGAAACATCACCATAGCAGTCAACTGACAAAGTCGCTCTTTCGGGTGCAATCAAAGAGGCTTGAAAAGCACGACAAACGCAGATACCTTCATTTTTATTCACAGCGCGTTTTCGTGATCATAAGGAGAAATCGCTTAGCTTTTAAAAGACGATTTGATGCTTCGTTGAACAACGATACATATCTTACACGTCGTCTGTGCATATGCATATGATTCGAGATGGCTGCTTGCATACATGAAATTGAATTCTTGACTACAGATATCCATCTAGCTATCCTTCTGCCTCAACAGTAAGAAGTCGCACATTCATGCACACAACCGGTTAAATAAACTCACTCAATTCTATCAAAATATTGAATCAATCAATTCGCACCGGTAACCTCAATACCAAATTGCACTAATTGAAAGCATGACAACATACATATGCAATGAATACATAACACCTGCCAGCAGAACAGAACAATTTTCAAAAATGTGGTATAGAGAAATCACTAGTCGTATTCCAAATCTGTTTATTTCGTACTTCTTGTACAAAACTGAGAAGTCGGATGAGCGATGCAGCAATCAACGCTCTAACCTTTTTGAAAGTTTATTTCAAGTCTGATTAAATTTTGTTTTTTGAATCTGTTATTGCTTAGTCACTCATATGTCTATTTTTCCGTCATTTCATTTTGATTTTGTTTCAGTTGTTTGAATAATCTTTAACTCTTTGACAGATTATTTCAAGTCCCTCTGAATTTTGTTCAAAAGATTCTTTGTTCCATTAAATATCTTCTGGTGGAGTTCCGCAAAAAGCAAGAATTTCGAAAACAATTATGAATTCAACAAAATCACTTGATATGAAAAACATCTTATACTTTATCAACAACACAGGATGACCAATGGGGTATTGAATGAATCCCGAAAATACAACTGGCTCGACAAAAGTCGCGGACGGGGTTCCCGAAATCCCCAACCGTCGCAACACAATACATCAAAGTCTCCACGTGTTTGTTCTCCACTTGTATTATTGTGCTTTACACCTGTATCGAACGAATATTGTTACTGTCGTGTTTTAAACCTTAATTTGACTCGACACAGTAACAGCATTTTTTTCTATGAGAAACTTTCGTTTCAAAGACATCGCCATTCATGGGAATCAAATTTTCCCGACAACATGACTTTGAATTGTGATCTAATGTGAAGGAATGAAAAAACAAACGTTTTTTGAAAATTTTTATCGGTTATGCTTGTTGGAATAATTCACAAATTTGGCAATTGGATAGAGAGACGAAGAAATATGGGACAATGAAAAAAAAAGAGAGAGATTCAGTCGAATAAAGCAACAATTTTTTTAATGAAACAGAACTACTTGGCGTAACAATTAATTGCAGAAAGGAACATGCCAGCTAATCCTGACTACGAAACACGTCATAGCTCTTCGCGAGTCTTATGTGAGGTCGTATGAGGATTTGTCATCGCCGAAAGCCACATACCAGTGATATACCAACTCGCACTTTTCAACAGCACAGTTAAATCAATAACATATCTCCAACAATCAATGAACGGCACGAACCGGTTGAAGTGCTCAAATTCGTAATCTAATCCTTTAATGCACATAACAATATCGCCGCATAATGTAACTGCTGCTGTGATCTATTTTTCAAAATTTTATTGTCATAATTTTTCTCATAATCTGCAACTTTGGAATTTATGCACTGATCCTGCACACTGTTCACGGAGCTTTCGATTGCATAGCTGTAACAGGGGAGTTTCTTGCTCTCCTCATTCCTCCTTTGATTACGGCGTAAAACATGTTGAAAGGGAACACGCATAACAGGCTGCGCAATGACGATATTCCCTGTTTAATCGTTACTACAAGCAGTTATCTTCACCATGTGCATAACGAAAGAGCGAACTATTGGAAAATTGCTTGAAAATAAATGATCTTTCGGCAACAGAAATGAATGAACACAGTAAATCAATCTGTCGAAAAGCTGCTTACATATGTCAATTTCGATAAATTAACAGCAACGCCCACAAAAATTAACAACACAGTAAATCAGTCTGTCAAAATGCTGCCGATTGTTAACATGTGAAGTTTCAATGACGATTTTAAACTCAAATTCTGATTTCTAGAACGATACAAATAATTGTGCGGCAATCAATGAAAACAATAACAACAGCATCAATAAACAAACACAACAAATAGAGTTTATAATTGAAAAAAAAAACGACAAAAGGAAGCCGATTACAAAAAGAGATCTGCAGAGAAACAATGCATTTGATATCATAAAGCGTGGTGGGATATTATAAAGGTAGTAAAAAATAATTTTCAAAACCACTGAACTATCCATCGTACACAAAAGTGACAAGAACAGCATAGTAACGATTGTATTTTGATGAAAGCAGTATCAGATACCACCAGAATTCGTGAGAATTTTGATTTCAGTAAAATTTCAACTTCACAATTTTCCATTAAAAAGCATAGTTGAACGTCAATAATGAGATCAACACGCTGAATGCAAAAGTACTGTTCATTGGAGATAATCCGCGAAGTTGCTTAAATACTCCCCGTTCTATTATGATAAATTTCATTGCTGAGAATGCATTTTAGAGGCAACTGTTCACTTGAACTAAACAAATGAACAAATTGGTTCGTTATCAATTCACAACAACTGCTTTCCATTTCTGCTTTCGTCCGCAGCTTTCTCTTTCTGTCCATATTCGGGATGCAATTCACATAGACGTTCATCTTTCAACATTGACGACGCTTTTTTTAGTCAACGGTGCACGTTCGAGTGGGTCATAGTTATGAACATTCTTTTTATTGTTACTATTGTTGGCGTGATTGATAGCAGTGCTATTTCTGAGGAGGCGTTTTTTGGATCGCATCATTTGTTCATGTTGATAAACACTGAACTTATGAAGTCTATTCGTTGCATCCGGATCATCATTCGAATGGCACACTGTGAATCTGATTCGCTTCATATACCACAGCAGTCGTTCACGATAGACACGTTGAGTGACAATTGTTATTACCGGATTGATCACCTAAAGTTTCGTTGAATCAAGCAGACACCTTCCGAAATTATCTTAACTCAACAACAACAACAACAAGTGGCAATAAGCGTACCGTTCCAAGAACGAGAACACGAAAGAAGAAATCAGTTGTGGTCATCATAGCGTGCGACGGACAATAGTGAATGGTCAAATGCGATTCAATAATTGTTGTCAAATAGAGCAATCGATAGGGCAAACAGGTGAAGAATGTCCAGAGTGTGCTACAGAATAAGAAGAAAAGTCGTTGAAAAAGCTTCTGAAAATTTGATCAGATATAAAAGCATTCTGTTGGATGGTTGAGTAAAAATTTATTCAATCCAATGAATACTCATTTAAAAAAGTGAATGAATTTATTGGAAAAAAATGCGCGTCAGAATACATGCTTTTAGCATGGCCTTATAATACGGTAAATGAAGCTCTCACCGATCGAGCTTTGTTTTCTATCCGATTCGAGCCTTGCGCGATCAAAAAAATAATCACTGAGATCGTAAAGCAGCCAATAATTAGCGATATATACATTACGCAAATAGGTGTATAAATAAAAGGTGGCAGAGCGACCAAATCACAACGTGGCTGAAATTCATTGTGGTGATTAATTAAAGAAGATAAGATGATGAAATTCATTATTGATTTACGTGGGAGAACGCTAACCGGATTAGAACGATACGACATGAAGTGATAAGCAAACATAACAAGACTAATAATAGCTGTCCAAGTTAATATTGAAACGATCAAAATGCGGAAGCGATTCACAATGATGTAGTATTGCAATGGGAATTGCACAAATATAAACTTATCCACATTTAGCCTGCAACAATGTAATGTAAGCACTCAGCATTTAACAACAACCTAGCATCTGATCAACATTCATCAAACTCGTAAAAATTAGAAAGTTGATACATTCGTGTATGAAGACTGAACTTAGTTAGTAGCTTATATTATGTGTGTGGTCGAATAAACAGTTAGATTTAATGAAATGTGTATCATTAACGTTATCATATCAGAGCTAAAATGATAAGCAAACTACTCTTAATAAAGCAGCGAAATGCAAAACGATCTACCAAAGTAGATTGAAACAACTGCACAACTGAACAGTACATATTGTCACATAGTAGGGATAGCAAAACAATACTGGTAGATGCTCAAGAAATGGACGTGTCAGCATATAGACAAGACACGTCAACAGATCTGCGACCGTCATGTTGATCACTATTATCTGAAAATTGATTCTCATGAATACTGTGTTCCGATGAATATCAACTAATGAAGTATGGTTTAGAATAAACATAAGTAAAAACGAACTTACCTGACGTGGTTTGTCATTTGTATCGATATGCAATACAGCAATGAGCATAACGACTGTATTGAAGACGAACCCTGTCACACCACTACCGATATAGAACAACTGCTCGAATGTGGTCATCCCTTCATCGCTACCATTGAATACCCCGCATAAGCTCATTTTGGATACTGTTTCGTTGCGATCAGCATTCATTGTCGGTTGATTCTCTGAAGTGGATGTGAATATGAGAAACAACTATAGAAAACAACAAATTTCTTGAAGGTGATCACTCGAAAATCTTGTTTAAACCATTTTAATGAGCCATAACACAAAAACGTATAGAACTGCTTGAAAGAGGTGAAATAGAAGAATAAAAATTAGTGATTCCGAAAGAAATTTTATTTGTTCTTCAATGGTAGTAATAATGCTGGTGACATTGAGGAATAACTTTATACGATGTCTAATAAAGCGACTCTGAAACGGCGACTAGTTTCAATTTCACGGAATCGAATAAAACAAATTGGTTGTGAACGATAATCAAAAGCTGAATAATAGTTTCATAAAGAATAACATCAAAGACCGGTAGACTGTAATCATTAATTTCCCTATTTATCACATCGATTCAATGGCTAATTGGATGAACAACTTTGATCGACCGGTCTTCTTTGAAGCTGTTTTTAACCTTTTCGTACCATTTCTTTTTGCTTCGATTCGTTTCTAGTTTGGAATTCGCTTGTTGCGGAATAAACGTGAAATTTATTCAGCAGAAGAAAAAAACAAAACAAAATCAACGATGGATCGACACAACAACAATTACGATCAATGACTATTGAATGAGTTTCTCGCACTCTTGCCTTTCCTCAAACAAAACAACTATCAAGCATTTTCCAGTGAACACGGACGTAATTCGAATACCACTAAAAAATCCAAACTTACACTCGAAGAAATTTTTGGAATATCTAGAAACTATTCACTTTCGCATTATTACGTAAATACTTAATTTAGTCCATGTTCATTACTATCTAATAATACATCAAAAAGATTAACTACTGTAGATCATCAATATGCTTGACAAAGAAGTACTTAACAATTGACGCCAATAATGGTAGCAGTGTCAATCGAAGAGATATCACTCACAGCATTACCGGTAGCCATATCAAATGACGAATGAACATTGATCATTGTTCATTCATTAGATAAATTTAAAGAGGAAAATTATCGTTGTTTCACCGCTCTCTTATCACTTTGATGTGCAAAGGTATAAATTGCGTATTTTGAAAGTAGAATTACTTAACAAAAAAACGATTCTTATCATTCAATTTCTTTCATATCAGCTGTCAGTCTAACTAGTTGTTACTGCTTTCAACCTAAAGGTAGACGGAAATCGAAGCTTTCCCTTTCTCAACATACGTCTTTCTACCTCAAATGGACTGGTAAAAAGGAACGATCTGTGATTCTCTGCTGCTTCCGACCATCAAAATCATCAGTACGACTAAGCTGAAGTTTGTTCGATTAGGTTTAGCAGTCGCTTTCCATTTATCTATCTTTTTTTTCGCGATTCAATTTAAGTTGATACAATTACTTAATCCTCATTCTTTCTTTGCATCGTACCAAATTAAATTGGAAGACAGATTTTAGGCTAGATATATTTATAAAAGATTACAAGGTGTAGTCAATATCCACTTTCAAAACTGAACTAGCAATTGGATGATATCTAATAGTAGAAGTGTTAGCAGCAACAGCAACAGCAAGAAAACTATTATGAATACGGTCGATAGCTCGATATGTTATTTGATAATTGATGGAGAAAGAATAGTTTAATTCAATAAGCTTCGATTGCAATCACTGTTTTCTAAGCGGTAAATGGTAATTATGCACACAAAAATAATGGACCAATAAATGAAGCAAAGCAAGTAGAAGCAGCTTCTATCAGAAAATGAGACTTTGGATCGATTAACCTGCTCGATTGATGATAAAGTAGTTCTAAAAATTCGCAGAATGGAAATTCGAATGAATGAATGGGTCGTTCTTAAGCGATATCATTGTCACCATCTACGAGAGAACACTTAAAAGATTTTCATTTGTTTATTAGTTTGTTTGTTTGCTCATTCTGAGGAATAACCAGAAGGATCAGCAATGAACACTCATGGAATGTGTCACATTCGGATGAAGAGAGAATGAGTAAGGAATTATGAGATTTCAGTCGAAGTACGAATTGTTGAAAGAGGCACAAAAATGAAATGAAGAAACTGTCTTATTCGATTTCCGACACATGAAAAGTTTCATTAAAATCATCATCACCATTCGAAAACGACAACGAAAAGCATTTGAATGCAATTTTTGAGAGCTGACGGATATATGTATGGATATAATAGTATATCGCTGCTCATGTTGCCGCGTGTGTGAGCTTGGTCGTTACGAACGCTTCATTTGAAATATCAAATTGACGGCAAAAAGAAATCATCGTCATCCTCATTTTCAACAACCAATAACTGAGCACTAACAGCCAACCATTTGATTTCGAACTTGCTCGTAAGATTCAACCGATTTCGATTCGATTCATCCATCTTTGATCCTCTTAAATCCACAAATAATAACAATAATAGTGGCATTAAAGTTTGGAATCAGTGTTGATGTGGAACTGAGATGAGGAAAAAAATAAAAGATGAAAGTAAGCGAAGAAACGGACGCAACGATAAATTGCGATAATGTTGTTGCTGAAGCATAAAGAGTTGAACATGTTCCATGTAAATAATCCATTTTTATACGCACCCAATTGGATAAATGTTATCAGTTACTTTTGTTTGCGATGCTACTCATTTGATTAAAACACAAATATTTGATATTGTACAAATAAATGAAAATGAACAAGCTGAAAGACATACGTATATAATATTTCAGTTTATAGTCAAAAAATACATTTTAGTAATTGATTTAATAACATCAGCTTTAGTAAACATATACTATTGCGCACTTTCCGTGTCGTTGCCCATTAAATCGAGTTACTAGAAATTACTTTCGTTTTCAGGAATTACTTTGATCTGCAGTTGCCCTCTTCAGACCCATCGAAATGTTCTTGCTATTGATGCACTAAGCTCACAATCACTAAGCTCACATGGAATTAAAAATCAAAAATGCATAGTTAAATAATGTAGAAAATGCTTTCTTCAGAGAGGAAAATACCTAGATTCTTATTTTCGTCACGTTTGCTTTAAGTTGATCAAGATTTAAGGCGCCGAAAACCGAAGGCTAGAACAATTCTAAAGAACACGAGGAAGACATAGCATGTTTTCTTATTCATCAATCACAGAAAATTCATCACTTTCACAAGACATCGTTCCTTGATGCATTCAATGTCATTGATAATGTGCATATAGTCCTTTCTCAAATGTTTACTACAGCAGAATCTATCCAAAATCATCAAATGAAACCAACCACCACAATCTTCATCAAATATTGCAATTGTTATTTTAATTCAAAACCACTTCTTTTTCTCGCGCGTACATTATGAATGAGTACTCATAGGATCTTCAACAACATCGCAGCAAAATACGAATAAACATTCGGGAAATTTGACGACCCAATATAATTCATGAAAATGCATTCGAGCATTGAGACAAGTATTTGTTTGCTTCACAAACGACGCTATTACCCACTCGCTTGCCGTTGTCATCTATTTATTTAGCACGTCAACACTATCAATTTAAAAGCTATTTGTATCGCTCCACTTGTAACAGATGATGAAATTTCAGACTGTTGCTAATGTAGTGAAGGATATTAATTCGGAGATGTCTTCCTTTCCTAACACCTTTCGAAAAGGCACGTTGTTTGCCTCAGGAGGGGCAGATTTGACTACTTTTGCAGTGAACATTTCTAGAGCGTTTAGAAGAACTTTGCTGTCGATTACGTATTTTCGGTGAGGCATTAAACGTTTGACTTTTATGCAATAACAAGTACGTTTAGCGCAAGAGGAAAAAAGATAATTATTGCTGCATTATAACGAATCGTAGCCTCTGAATAGCGATAAAATTTTAATGTTATTATCAGCTCCATCATAATTCAACTTGATGCTATGGAAATTGAAGACCAAGAGAGAAATCAAGAAAATGAAGACTCAAAAGAAAAATGGAACAAACGAAAATGCAGTTTATCGGTTCTTAATGGACTGTAGGAAATGAAATCCAGAGACAGTTAATGGTTAAAGTTTCAAATAGCATACTAGGTTCCTCAAATAGATGGATGTGTGAGAAAATGAATTCATGTGAAGATATGAATGAATTCAAGTGAGTAAATAATGTTTTTCATTTTGAAATATCAGGATTCAAGACGACATGAGACAGGGATGAAGATGAATACAAAAACGTTAAGAAGAGAATAAGATAATTTTACGAACCTGTATGGATTCACGGATTTGGATTGGATTACACAACAAGAATATAATATGTTCGAGGGGATAGGATGATGAATAGAAGATGAATGGATAACAATGAGAATATATTAAGGTAACAACAATAACACCCCTAGTTGCTATTATTGACTAGCATCAGACGAAAACAATTGCTTTGAGATTTCGCATTACGCAAAATGGTGATTATTTCAACAGCAGTTGGAGACGTTATTATGATTGTTGTTATGTTAGTGCACTCTCAACAACAACATTCTTGATTTGATTTGCTTTGACTTTTGCTTAACATTCATTCAAGTAAGAGCATCGAAAGGACACAAAGACATTTGGAAGAAAGCAATGGTACAGATAGTCAGGTGTGTAGTGTTCGGTGATTACTCAAATAATCAGTAACGTTATAAAGAAAATTTTAAAGTCACGAAAATGAAAGATTAAAAAATGTTGTGACGTGCATATGAAGATGAAAAAGGTTTGTTAAATGGATAGAATAACGAATGTTTTTGTAGATTTGATTGTTGAGTGGAAAATATAGGATAGTAACAATGAACAGAAGGAAGGATATTAAAAAGATTGCAGCAACCAATCAGAATTGTTAAAATGGCAGTGCAATTACCATTGAATTGATAATAACAATGCAAAAACAAATATTAGTGTTAGACGAATATATTTCTTATAAATGTTAAAATTTTATTGCGCTCAAATCATTTCGTATTTAGTGATGAGCAGCGTTTCGTTACTGAACAGAATGTGGTTCAGGTAGTGTGAAGTGGAAAGGATAAAGATTAAGCAGTGTAAGTGATCATTGTTGATACGTTAACAATTTTTATTTTATTCAGAGATATACGTATCCTCCACAACTCTTATCATTTTTATCACATCGCAATAAGAAAACAACCTGGAATTAGGATCGTTCGATTGAAACATAAGCAGAATTTGTACAATACGTAAACATTTTAATGCATATATTCTCTGACATGCCTCATTCCATTTCATTATATACACGAATTTCGTTCAAACACTAAACAATCTCTGCAAAACTAAAATCACAGCTACTGCACTTATAAGCTACTGATAATGAATTTTGAGCGCTGGTTGGTCATTCTTTCCATGTTCTCTTAATTCGACGCATGTGCATTTGTAAGTGAAATTTGCCGAATGAAATTCAACAAATGCATTTCATTTGTGAAGCTGAAATAATGCTAGACGGACTGGAATGATATGAAAACTCATTGAAACGAATGGAGAACTACCTCATGATGCAGTTATTTGATAACGTGAAGAATGTGCGATTAATCATTCGTTGCATCTGTATCCATACTGATCGTCATTCAAATGCAATTAAAGATTAAGAAACTGTTTTGAAATATGCATTCACATCGAAATGATTCGCTCACAAATCAGAACCCATAAATGCATCTAGTTCGCTGACTGAGCCCTGCATATTGTCCAGCAAAACGGCTAATCTTGAGAAAGAAACAAATAACAACAGCAAATTAAATACGTGAACGTCAAATACAGTTTAAAGAAGATGCACTGATTCGAAAGGTAGATTTCATTTATTGGCTAATTGTTAACTGATTAAATTTTTATTCATTCGATTAATCAATCAATTACATTAGAACAATAATAAAAATATCTCTTATAAGAATAAATTACAATACATTATTCAAATAAATAAGAAGCGAACGTTTCATGTTAAAACTATACAATCAAATGCTTAATTAATTAAGACACTACACCGAACCATCAACTTGCGTATCAAATGAATGGTAAAACGAAGGTCACTTTTGTATCAATTGACTGTCCAATTGCAAAATAACAAAACAATATTGCAACAATAATAATAAATGAGTTGAAGCATGTTGACGTCTATGATGTTGAGTTTCACCTGCAGCTACTTTAAATTGTTTCTTTGAAAGTGTCATTAATGCGATGCACCCCGATTTGATCCTATCCATCCATTCACCTAGTCCCTTCGACGATCCTAATTACAATTCCTTTTTACCTTTCCTTGTTTTCGGTGGTGGCGTAACTGGTTCTGGCTCTGGCTCATCGTCTTCGTCTTCTTCAAATAGACAACAGTAGCAATCAAACTTAAACAAATAGATCAACGACGTTAACAATGAACATTTCTGATACCTCGCTCCCTCTTCTTCAACTATCAAATGTCAATCACCAGTCTCCTATTTGATTTGATCAAAGAAAGCGTTTTGTAAATTCAATTACATACTTGACGATCAAAAGCATATCAAAGATCGCTTCGTTGAACTTTCAATACTAGTTCCAATATAAATATATGTCACATAAAATACAAAACTTCAACAACGAATCTAATGAAGACATCTAAAAGATACTTACCATCTAACGAAATACTACCGTTCATAATTTGATCAATCCATGTTTGAAGTACCTCCAGATTACTATCACGATGCTTTTTCGGATCATCCAGATTCACTTGTGACATATCGAACCATATTCCCTCTTTCTGCAAGCAAACAACATGACGGCTGTAACAAATCAAACAAACTTGATTTCGAAAAAATCAACACCGGCTCAAAGAATGAATGAAAAGTAGAACTGAAGTGTCAACTTGCATCAGAAATGTCAACTAATCCCAGCTGAGGACCTTCTTCGATATCAATGCCAAACATCTCCTCCCAAACATCAACCATCAACGGGAATTCATCTGAAGTCAATCAAACGATCATCATTCCATCAATTAAGGGTCTATTTGATTTCGAAATCACTAACACTAACACATACCAGGATCAATAAGAACGATCATTAAAGTTCCAGCATGCTCACTGTTCTCATCAGCCAGCTTATCCAACAAATTGAACATTGCACGACCCTCACGGCTTTCTTCATCACAAAACGCTATCACCAATTTCTCATCTTCATCTGCATCTTTCTGAAACAGAACAAGAAGAGTGCAAAAGAAGAGCGGTAATTGAGATGCAACTGACCCAAACATTGAAATAATTCTGAAGCGTAAGTTTCTGCATGACTGGTTCTTTATTTTTCTCAACCCAGTCTTCGAATTCGTCCTCTGTATCCACTGACACTGGTGCATAGATGGGATCTTCTTCATACGGTCGCAACATCTGCACTTCACCAACACGTCTCAATCCCATCTTACGCGCCCACTGAAAATCAATTGCATCGTGAACGTTTGACAAAGTCAGGTTTGATCCAACTGTAAGATCATTTTGCTTTATCATCTCAACTTCAGTGAATCTGAACCAGACAATAATTTGCTTGCTTACGTGCATCCAGTTACATTTCGATCTGTGAAATCGATGAGCGACAAACAGATTTGTAAGCGACCGTCTGCTCGGAAATTTTTGTCAAAATAACGAAGAAATTTTACTTTTTTTCGCTTACATATGAGTTGACAACGGCGAAGAATTCAATTTCACCCATAAAATCTTCGGCAGCTTCTTCGAATTCCTTTAAGGCTGAAAGAAAACAGCAAATGAAATATTTTAATGGTAAAGGCGAAATTCTGATGAAAGTTGACAATTAAAAAAAACGGTTAAAAAGTAAACAAAAAAGAGACAACAAACCAGCACTGCCCGGTTCAAAATAGCCAATAACACGAACTGTGTCATCCTCCAACGAATCGAATTCTTCTTTATCATGCTCATCATTTATTATTGTCACTGGATCATCCGGAATCTGAACAAACGATTTCTATAAAAATATCACCCAATAAATTCGTTGCAGAATTACGAACCATTAGATTGAATAGTAGAAGATCTCAAAAAAGAAAAGCAAATAAACGAACATCCATAAGCCATGAGACGAACGTTTCAGGATCTCGTACACCATAATACTCGATTTTATAGCCATCCTTATAGACATGGATTGTATCTTCTCCTTTCTCGACTTCTGCAGTCAACTAATCGATCAAAAATTAATGCCTCTGACAAACATTAAAACGATCCATTCGTTTGCAATCACAACATATCGTAAAAACAAAGCAAGCATTCCAATCAAAATTCAATTTTTGATATTTGCTGCAAAATTTCGTGTGCGTTTATGCTCCTCTTGTCATAATCTAAGCGTCTATCAAAATTTCAAGCGTTGAAGTATTGCGTATTATGATAGAATATTATAACGATTTTTGTCATTAACATTATAAAATGTAAAAAACCTTCTTGCTTTCGTAATTTTACATCTTTCGTTGTGTTCACCGTATAGAAATTATAACCCCGTTTTGTCATCACCTGAGCTGATAACTGCAAAATTTCATCGATCTTTATATGATCTATGAAAGTGAATGATCACAATCGCTGATGTGAGTGAAATGAAAGAGATTAGATTAGCAACTATAAACGATTAGGGTGCGATTGTTCAGCGACCATATGTATGCATATAAGATAATTTAAGCATTCAACAGAAATCTCATTGGCAGAAGAGAAAGCTGCAGTAGCACGTGCCTGTAAGAAGCATTCGTATTGATCCAATTCAGGATCATCTTCTTCGACGTCATTAAAGAAGACGATCGATTTTGCATCTTCAGCAAAAACCGTCTTATTGAAATTCTTTTCGGTTAATACCTGAAAGGCAGTTCATCTATCAATTCATACCCTCACAATCAACAACTCTTTCTTTCTGCGACATAGATTTTTGCTAACCTCAGTTCGATCGAAGCCATCGTATTCGAGTTCTGGATAACCAAGAAACATACACTCCAATTCTTCGGTTTTCATATTGCCGACTGCAGCATTACAAATGCTCATCAGTGAAGTTGTTGCTAAGCATAACAATATTATAGCAGCACTACCACACCCCATAGCTCGCTCACCACTGACCACTGCTGTCCCCAACTGAAACAAATTCACAAATTTGACAATTAATCACATATCACAGTTTATTATCACTCGCACAAATTCATAATGGAATTTGTTCATGAATGCTAAGCAACTGAGATGAAGCAGCGATAGCTATAGAGCATGGCAACTGCATAACAAATTTATCCATCTATAAAGACACTTTATAAAACATCAGGTCAACATGTGCGGTGGATGGATAGGTTGATGAATGAGCACAACGTAATAATGGTTACTGCTTTGCTAAAAGTGACAAAAACTCCACTTATCTAAGTAAGATATAAGAAACAACATTCACTATCCAGTCAAACCGTATACCACTCATCACACAAAAAAATCATAACACGTTCACTTAATGGAACCTATTCGTGTATTAAACGTTTCAAATTTTTCTTCCGAGTGAAATCTCTTCGAAAACGACAAAATTCTGCATTTACGATCTGTTCATTTAGACATTATATGACTTACTGAAAAATAATAAGAGGTGGAAAGTTAATTTTTGAAAAATTCCATCCAGGTGAAATTATGGTTGAATTGATTTTGGTGTATTATGTTCACTACGAGTAACTCTCTTCCAACTAAAACAATTGATTTTAAATTCATCATAAGAATAAAAATTTGTATACGATAGTGTATGTTCATTTGTCAAAAACTCAATTCTCACCACTACTCTCCTTTCCATTAACTTAGATATTGAATGAAATCAATGCCTAACAGAATTTATCCTTCCCGTTTTTCAAGAGGTTAAAGTCGTAATGAAAAATTGAAACCCTGGAACGACTTTACAAGCACACCTTATTTGAAGTAAGAGTTTACTGCATGACATTCTGAATCAATAATTTCAGTCGAGCGCATCACAACAAACAGTAACGATTTCTTACAAATGAGGTGATCATCAATAAAAATGACACTTCAGTTCAATAAAGTCAACAATATGAAGATCAAGTTAACATATTGTATAAAATTCATTCATATGAAACTGCTTTCAGCAGTATCAACTTTATCAAATCATCGAACTAATACTGAGAAGAAATGATTTGAATAGCTGAATAACAGACATTAAACCGAAACTGTGATAACGATAGTAATAAAAGATGCGAAGTGGTTGAACCGAATGAAACAAGCACCAGATTTATTAATAATAATAATTGTTTTATTTTCAGCTAGTTGAACACTACTATCTGGTAGAATCATGATGATAATATAATGGATCAACTATACTTGAACAGCAGTTGTTAGCTAGTGCAGTATGGGCGATAGCCGTACTAATAGCAGTAGCAGCAGCATCAGCAGTAGCAGCAATAACAACAACATCAACATTGAATTCTAACCTCCAGTAAGGATTATATTGATATGATATAGATAGGTGTTTGTGTGTCGATGTGTTGATATATATTTAGTGTAAATGATTTGCGTGGTATGAAATGAGGATGGATGGAGATGTATAGATGAATGAAAGAATGAATGAGTAGCAGTATTTAAGCATAAAGAGCACAGCCAAACAACTCACTAACAAGTATAGGAGGAGTAGAAAAATAAAACTTTTTCTCTTGATGGAACCAAAATAAATTTGAAATGTGTTCAAATATGCTGGCTGATATGTGAGGATTTTTCCATGTTGAATGGCTCATTCGTGTGTGGCTAATGAAGAAATGAAAGAGGAAACTGATTGGTTTCGAGATTGAGGTAGAGAGATTAGGTTGAAGATTTAGAGGAGAAGAAGGCGTAGGGAGTAGTGCTCGGGATTTGAACAAATCCCTGCTCCCCGCGAATGCATCTGCAAGAACACTCGCGCAAAAATTCCCCGTGAAAGCATGAATCCTCACAGCAAATCACGGAGAGACCTGGCTTGCGGGGGCCGTCTTTCGCGGAAAATCTCCACACCTGCGGAGCTCCAGCTGAGGCCACCATGGTGGCCTTTGTGAAACGCAGAACAGTAAAATAACAGTAATTCCTCGTCATAACTCACAATTGATTCATTCATCACACGAAAGATCGCATGTATTCGATGCACAAGCTTCTGAGGCAAAAAATTTTTTGACTCCCTCAGTCAGTAGCTGGAGGTATTGTGGTGCGGGGATCGGTGAATTTCGCAGACCCCGCTCCCGAATTTCCGTCTCCGTTCCTGACAACTATCGAGCCGACGACGTTTTTGAGGTCCCCGACTGCAAAATTTCGTCCCCGATTTTCCCAGTCTCCGACTTTTTTCCGTCCCCGCACCACACTAGCCGCAGAAAGACTTCCATGGTAATTTTCCTCCGGATCCAGATTGCTGTAGCTGCAGCTGGAGCGAGAGATGAAATTTTAGAATTCTAGAGCTCAAGCCGAAGCTGCAAACGAGTTCTCCTAAAGTGTGAAGCCGGAGGCGAAATTTCAGAATTGAGGAGACAGAGCCGGAGTCAATTTTTTTCGATTTTCGTCATCACTGGTTATAAGCGTTTATTGTGAAAACTGTAACAGCAATGAAAGAGCACAACAAATATTTTACCGGTAACAATAACAATAAAAAAATCAGTTCTGAGTTTGTAAACCACGCAATGGGCATTGGTTTCTCCATCCAATTCATTCACATTCCACCGCAAATCAATTCATTCGGTTACACAGATTTCTCCAAACCCTAAGTCGCGATGACATTTCAATCAAATTTATTCAAATTTCAAAATTTTAATCAAATTTTTAATCATCTTTTTATGAATTTACGTCCTCCGATGGTGGAACTTTTGAATCCTTTAGCACCGCAATCTATGACTTGAAGTAGTTTCTGTTGCCATTTTTGAAGAAATCTCAAAATTTTTAGAAGTTGCATTCCTTGACATATAAAAGTAGAGGTGAGGTTCCCAGTGGGAGCTTGAAAATCTCCTTTTCCAGAGGGATTCCATTCACGATCCGAGAGGGAGATGGCTCATCAGAACCTGTCGCGAGACCTCCTCCCGAGGAGGGAGGAGGCCCTCCATGAGGTCTCTCTTCCGAACAGTAAAAACGAAAGTTTTCAAAAGCTGAATTTGATCATGACCGACCGGTCTCAGCGCTTTATTCATTTCTCAGCAGAAAGACCTTGTCATATCAAAACTTTCAGTATGACATCCATCCACTGAAATCGCGTCAACAAATTTCAGCATTTCATCTGTAAGCAAATAATCAGCACTTATCGAAAACATTATAAATTATTGAATAAATAAAAGTATCTGCTAGGAAAAGCGATCTTTTATTCAGTCAGTTCATATGTGATTGATCAATAATATCGGCGTAAAGCAAGAATTTATGACAAAAAAAATGAATTTCAACGGAAAATTGGTTGTCATCAGCATGTTCATTGTTGTGTTTACTCGAAAGTTTCATTTATTTTCTATAGCAGCGATAATTGAGAAGTTGAGAATAATACGGCTGCATTGCTGCAATAACAACTCGTCTCTCCTCTTCTCGTTTCATCACAATTCCAGCACTATCATCAGTTGAGTCTTATCAAAAACAGAATGCGGCATGCAACAGCTTGGTGCTTGCTGAATCTGAAAAAAAAACACAACGTTTCGCTCAATTCCTTTCATACATTTCATAGATGATCATATAGACGAAACGTACAAAGTTTGGCAGTAAAATGAAGTCTCTCAGCTATACGACATTTCTTTAGAAACTCAGCTATTGCGCTAAACATTCAACTTCTACCTAAACATTTCTCTCCCACAATATTTTGATAGTAGGGAATCTGGATGCATAGAAAACATTGTTTTATTAAGCAAACTGAGGATACAAGTGACCTAAATATGTTACTCGTGATATTGCAATGCTGCTACTAAAGTAGTTATACATCTCTGGAACTAGGCATTCTTATTGCAAGATATACATGCCTCTATTGTGGCTTAGGGTGTGCTCAATCATGATTGTGCAAGAAATCATTTAATCATCAACAAGAACTGGGAATACGATGGTCATTTTTATGCTGAAGTTAGCTCACTTGCAAAAATCCTTCTAACGCTTCCTGGAATTAAGCAAGTAATCATGTTTGAATTAATTGCACTGTAATGTCTGAAATTATTTCTGGAGGTGGACCCTTCAAAATGCCATAATTTTGTATTTTTCATGATCTATCCGTCCACTCGCCAAGTTGAATCGATTGACACCAAGACTTTTGGAATAGGAGGTAACGTTTCGTGAAAATTTTCGTAACAATTCCATAAGAATCAATCCGTTACGATCCCAAAATGCACATCTCGGCTTCATGTTTGGACAAGTTTGAGATGACATTCGAGAGTGGTCTCGAATCTGATGAGTCGTGGGAGAACAACTTTAGTGATGTATCATGAGAACTGCGTAATCAGACCTCGAAAAAATCACATTCCAGAATTTTGCCTCGATCCACTTATTTTCCAAAAATCCTACGAATTCAGTACCAATCGGTTGGTACAACAGAACTGCTCAGCTATATAAACACTAAATTAGAAATTAAGCTACGTCTTGAGAATTAAGCACTATCCGTCATCAAATATGCATTTTTTGAATAGCGGGGAATCTTTTCAATACGAAGGTAGCCAGAAACTATTACGGTATTAAGCAGACCTGAGAACACAGATGGGTAACTTGAGAGCTGTATTCGTAATAACAATCAGCAGTTATACGATATGCGCTAAGAAATTCAGCAGTGTCCCACTAACTAATTTTTTTTTCGACAGCATGTTAAAACGTAGAGCATCTGACGATTCTTGTGGTGCTATTGACAATGAGCAAACTTGAGCGTACAGGTGATCTGAAGATGATACTCCAAATCTTCCTATAGCAGTGTATCGTTGATCAACTTAGTGATCATACTAATAGCGTTTGGCCGTCTAGTGAAATCGCTCAGCTATATAAAATTCAGCTACATTTCATTAATTGAGCATTTCTCTTTCATAAACAGTACACTATTCGGATAATAGAGAATTTGACAGCCTGATGGTGTATAGCATCTATAATACAATGGTACAAATCTGAACTAAAATGGTACAAATGACTTTCTTCGAGCTGACACTTATAATATGGATGTCACTTCTTTGTATTCTTATCGTACTTTTAAATTTTTCTACTTCGAAGTAAAATGTATCGTTTCAAAGATGCGGTTATCAAGATCAGCACGATACTGCTAGGATATTCATTGCGATAGTGGTGCAGTGGTGTGGAAAGCAACATAACATGATAAAGTGAATCTTTTCGAAAGTCACATAACAACAACAACAGTATGGAATTATGATGAGAAGATGCATGCAAAATTGGTGCCTGCATGTTCGTTGCAGCAGTGTAATCTCTCTCTATTCGCCTCTCCATCGATTCATCTCTCAAGCAACCGTCTGTCAGCTAACAACTGTCTCGTCCTTCTTGTTCTCCAGTGAAGCCAAGCCTTACCTTCTGCTAGATTACTAGCTGGGCCTGTGAGATGTGAATTCACTAGTATATGAGCACTGACTGACCAATAAGTAGGCCTGCATTACTTTTGAATTACTGGTATTACATTGCCCTGAGCTAGTTTAGTTGAGTCTTTTACTATTGTTAGTTTTACTAATGTTAACGTCGTTTGTGGTTTTACTTTTGTTCATTTATGCTAGGCTTTATACTAGGCTTGTTGTTTGCTTTGAATGTGATAGGCTATGAATTTGAAACACTGTTGAAATAGTTTTGAAAAATGAATTATGTCGCCTATTCTACTAAAATGCTCACTACCAATGGAGAAGGACTCAGATTCAGTCCAGAATTATCTCTGGATGAATAGGATAGGACATTCTTTCCTGTTCAATGATTTATTCTTTATTTGAATGCGACTTTTTGTTAGACGAGCGATTGATTATTGGATGCTTCAGTGAATTTTATTGTTGAATGCGTAAGAAGCCTTAGGTTACTTAAAACCACTTCTTCATAATCGTTATGCATCCATCCGCAGCGAAACAACAGTCACCGAGATGAGTTTGCTAGATTGGTAGACGTATGATCATCCTTGAAACTAATTTTTCTCTGCCTTTTTTATTTTCTAATTTTGTTTCTTACTGTATGAAAAGCTGTCGGAATGACTCCCTCCTCGTTGTTGGTAATATTCATCAGAAGGAATCTTCAAAGTTTGAAGTATGCATAATGGGTTGAAACGTTGTTATGTTTTGCTAGAATGATAAAGCATAAGCCAGCAGCAGTAACGTTAGGAGACGCGATCGATAAACAAATGAATAGAGCTTGTGCTCATGGATAGGATATATAAAGTAGTTTTGAAAGACGACCGATTTGTTTCGAATTAGGAATTATTGAATTGAATATTGCTGTGCTATGATGCAGACTGTCGACTTTTTGCAGCTTTCGAAAGTCAAGTCGTTTAGGCTTGGAGAGATTATTTTCAATAAGAATGGATAATATCAGAGCATATGGTGCCGGTATGGCTGGTGGGGGCTTCGATCGACAAGCGTTCATTCGAAAACCAACAGTTATTTTTCGATTTGTAGCTTTGGTGAGATTTTGAGTTATAATTATTGTTACCTCATGTTAATGGAGAATCCGTTTTTGAGTAAGACGAAAAGGAAAATGAATATTTCGACTAAATAATTGCATCAGATGAAATTCGCGTTGTACATTTGCATATGCATTGTGCTCGACTGATCGCTAAAATTGGATTGACAATGAAAAACTGATAATTCAGATAGCTGGATTGATTGTTTGGCTGTCGATTTCAAACGGTGCTTGGCATGATTCGGAAGCAGCAACTAGTGGACAAACAATTTGCTTGTATGGTCAGAGTGCATCGACTTGCTCGTTTGGTTCAGCAATGGGCTTTTTTGCGGTGGCGGTTGCGATAACGATGTCTGTGGTGGATGCTAGATTCGAGAAGATTAGTGCTATTCAAACACGTAAGCGGGTTGTAATCATGGATTTGGCCATCTCTTGTTAGTTTCATCTCCTTTTTTCATTCTTTTTTCATATTCATCCGGCCAGTCACATCGGTTGTAACCATGTTGACGACGACGGCTATTTTTCTTATTTAATTTGAGAAATCTTTCTCATTTTCTTGCTTTAAAACTGAGATTATTTTGACCCTTTTCGTTCTACTCAAAATTATCAAATCAGAACGAATTTTAAAAAAATAGTCTTAATTTATGTTTTTGAATTTTTTTTTCAGAATCACTTTTTCAAAGTGCATTTTTGAAAGTTTGCAGTGATATTTGTTGGCATATTCGTAATCACATTCTTTATGCTTTTGAGCAAGTACAGTTCACTGCAGCTGGATGAGCCATACAGTGGAAAGTATGCGAAAATTGGTATCTTCTTTGCGTTCATCTCTCTAGTTGCTTGGGTAAGTTATTAATTTTTAGGTGAAGCACTTTTAATAATTGATTTCTGACAACAGTGAAGTTTTTTGAACACATGACGAGTATAATTTTTGGGTTAGTACGTATATATAACTGGAGATCGTGTCAAATTTTATCGGTTGATAGTGGCTCGTGCAGCTGAAATGAGCTTTAATACAGTGCATTTAAGAAACAGCGATAAATTTGTTATGTTGAATAAATTGCTTGTCTGAAGGGTGGTGTTGCATTTTTCGCATGGCGACGTTATGAAGAAGGCGCGCTGACGGCATTCGCTCCGTCTTATGAACAAGACTTTGCGAGAGAGATCGCAGGTGCAGACTATGGTTACGATAATAACGCAGGAACACGAGCAGTCACAGGCACAGGTATATTATTCACCTTTTCCAGTCTTTAAACATTATCCAGACATTGTCATAATTGAATTGCAGGTGTTGTTGTTGATTCTTATCAAAATGCGCCCTTCACCGCCATCAATACACAAGATTCACCTGTTGATATGAAACAGTTTCATCAGGGATATTAATTTATTTGCTGCGTAAATCATTAATTCAACTATAATTGCTTCAATTCATTGCTATTCTATTATAATATATATTCAAATTAGGTTTATATTCATCTTGACGATAATAATAATAATAATAATAATAATCATTATTAAGAAAAAACTAAATAATAATAATAATAAAATAATAATTCTTAATTTTTATTAGAAAAATAAGATAGTAAATCTTGTTAATAATTTGTGATCGTATTGTTTTTTGTTTGCTAAATACATTAGCACGCCCAATCAAATCTCACTTACGTAGCCTTCAGAGGCGTATAAGTAAATATTACTTATTCATGTTTATTTATTTGTGTTTTTATTTGTGTTTTGTTATTATCAGGTTAATGAACAAATAATAATGATAGTAAAAATAATACTAATAATAATAATAATAATAATAATAATAATAATAATAGTAATAGTGGTAGTAATAGTGATAATAATAACAATACCAGTAATAATTATAACAATAATAATGTACCGATAATGATAATAATACATGTGTTCACGTGATTTATGTAGGTATGTTTGTTTTTAATTCATTCTCGCATTATCAATATTTATTGTTGTCATAATTATCAATCCTCGTTGAAATGTACACCAGTTTTGTTCGCATATGTTCATATTTATTTTGCGGTCGTGATCTCTTCTTTGAAGTATTTAATAATGATATGCTACATTCCTTGAAAAATGAATAAATCAATTTCTAGCGAAATTTTTCTTTCTAATTATCCGCTAACAGCACAATGAAATTCAGAGTAATTCAAATACACATTCCAGTGTTATTTTCCGAGTACTAGTCAATTCGAAGGTAACATTTAATGATCAGCATCAGAAGTTTATGAAGATGGAAAGTGAAAGAATGACTAAAAAAAGAGATTTAATGAATGAGTTTAATAACGAATGAATTTGACTGAGCTAATATGGTGTGTGAGAGGGCAGTCAGTAGCGATATTGTCTGATTGTAGAAGCGGTGTTGTCAATCGATGAGCTTTTTGATAAAGATGGGAATGTGTTTGTGGAAATGTTTACTTGATTTAAATAACATCAGAAATTGACTAGTCGTCGGATTGTTCATTTATTCGATATCGCTAACATAGCTCATTTCTAATTCGTGAATCTCAAAGCATCTATCTGTCAATCATCGCATTCGATTCGTCGTATTATCACATATTCAACTCAAAACATCATTTTCAAATGCTAATTTATTGTTGTTGTTTGTTAGCGGTTCATATTTCAGCCAAGATGTCCATGAAAGCCTTAACACTGTTGTGGAGATCGAATGCTTGCAAATGTCTTCAACGTCCTTTTAAAATTGTTTGCTTTTTTGATCTACTTTAATGTGCTGTTAGTTTTTCGGAACAAATGATCTTATTGCTAGAAAGTATAATGAACTGAACACTTCAAATGTTCATAAGGACCAAGTTTCATTTAGGTTAAAATGGTCGAGTAGATAGTGCATATACCTCGGAAAGAGAAGGACAAGCTGCAGTGTCAAGCAGATAAGAGATTAACGGAATGGGTGATGCTAGCAACTCTTGGTTGCATTGTGTATAGCCACGCGCAGCACCTGGCTACTGACCTGTGAATAATAATCAAAGTTTTAATTTGATGTGATTGATGAGTGTAAAAAAAGATGCTGTTGTTTCTGAAAACATTGTTCCAGTTCAATATGAGAATATCAAATAAATACTCGATGCTCTACCCATTGGAATTATTTGTGATGTTTTATGTTCTTTATCTTGTTCGATTCACTCCTCTTTTACGTCAACACTCATTTATTTGCAGTACCATTGTATTGTCAACGTCCTCAATTAAACCGTTCTAAACAACGAAGACCACCCAAATATTACGTTCTTGTTCAGCATCATGAAAAAAAAAGCTTACTGAAACCTCAGCTGATACAGTGAAATCCATTATCATGGTTTCTCAACCAGGGGTGCAGGTGGAAAAAAAGTCGGGAACCACTGCACTAAAATGATACAGCATCAAACTATGAAACTCTGTAACCAAACAAAATTTTCTTTTATGAGCAAAAATCACGTAGTATGTGGAGCAATCGCCTTCTCGCCATTTTCATCAGTATTTTTAAATTTAATAGCAACAAAACAATTTTTTGAAATATTCAGAAAGAGCAGATCGTCAGCTGCAAGCAAAATGTATGAGGATATGGTGAACTGATATTCTCAAACCATTTTATTTACAATCAAAACGAAGGAATTTGAAACTTCTATAGCTTTTCAGGGTGAGGCTTACGTCATCTTGTGGGAATCATAAAATTGATAAAAGATCTACTTTTAAAAGTTGGAGATTGACTAGGAGACGGGAGTTGCGAAGGATGAAAAGTCACAAGTGTTCATGGTAGAAAATTTGATGCTGTATCAATAGTTTGCATCAGCGGTCATGTCGGATGGTTAGAATGCGTTTCAACAAAACAGCTCGATATTTCAAGCTCTCAAAGAAAAGCTCATTTTGCTTCATGCTCGGCACAATCTGCTTCATGAATTTAATTTAGCACCGCACGGACTTTAGACCTGTGTGTAGGCAGATTATAAAGTGCATCGCTCAACAAATAATATCTCTCACGCACTCATTTACATTTATTTCCATCATAAGAGAAAAGAGAAAATTGTCGAAATAAATGATTACATGTTAAGGAAATACCACTGGGTACACTCTCCACGAATCTTTTATTCTGTTATCTTTTCATTAGTTTCACTGATTCATATGTATGGCTCATGATATCAAATTTTTCGAAAAATGTTTTGGAAGTGGCATTCAATCAGTTCACTGATCTAGTCTTCCACTAATTTAACAAGAAACAGATTTATCGAGGAATCTTCGAAAGAAACAATAAAAGCGGGACGAATATTGAAGATAGAACACCATGAACATCTGCCATGTCTCACTATATTAACAACAATTTCATCTTGCGAGCACAAGCAAAATAAGTCCCTCTGCAGGGACTTGAACCACCAATTCATTTTCTTGACTTTGGTCCATCACCACTCGGTCATGCTTATCGTTACAAGTATGGTTTCAGAGCAGCTCTTGGATTCAGTGCGTGGCCCTTCACCCCTCGTAAGTCCTGTTCCTTAGATTCTCCGCAAGTTTTGAAAACAGATTCTTGATCAACTCAACAAGTCCTGCAAGATGAAATATGTCTTATCTTGGAGAGTTACGCAGAGATCTTGAAAGATTTGATCAATGATGTGCCTGATCCATTTCATTAGATCATTAAACTCTTTAAATTTGATCAAAAGCGCTGATTCTGTTAAAAAACACATTTCATCCCATTGATCGATTAGCGCTTATTCTCTCATTTACAGTTTAGCGTGACTGTTGTATTGCCGCCTCTATTGTGATTCAGTGATGAATGCACAGAAACTGTTTCTGCGTGACAGTTTATGAGTTTTTTCAGCACACATTCAGGTGCTGTGGATTGGAATTCTTTAAAGATGGTTTAATATATTCATGCGGCATGTAAATACTGCACACAAATATGACGTTTCAAATATGCCACATGAATACTTGTGAAATATGACCGGATTCGGTGTTCGTATGTCCATAATTGATGCAGCCTTTATGTGCTCAGATAATGACAGTAGATGCTTGCAGTTTTCTAAAGTAAATCAATGACGACAGAAGTGGACAATCGAAAATCAGTGGTGATAGCATCATGTGCACTTGCCTTTGTGTGCCTAAGTGTGTTCGTGATTGTCGCTTTCTTACGGTTAGCTGATCATGAAGAATGGTTATTCGCACAAAACCGTTTTGTTCTTCATTCATTTGAAGCAATGCCATTATCTCAACTGAAGGTGATTTCAATTATTCAGTCTCCCTCCCACCACGAATGAATATCTTTCTTCTCATTTACTGTTCATTTCAGTATCCACAAGCATGTACGCCTTACAGTGCAGATGATAACTGTAGCATTCGTTCTCCCTCAAATATTTCTGAATCTGTTCCACTGAAGGAAACTAATCTGTCATTCACTGAACATAACAACACGTCTACATTATCGTCTCCTTCAAACTGTTCAACATCTACTGAGCAAGTTTCCTGATTTATTCACGGCACAGGTGGGCAACAGCGTGCTATTCCGCTACTCCGCTATGTTGACGGAATATTAGAATAGCTATTTCGCTGTGTGAGTGAAATAGCAAAATAGATTAATAAATAGCGCACTAATGCCCACCTCTGTCTGATCGACGGTCATATCACTTATTCATTTATGATCATCTCATCGTTAATTCGTTCATCTTATTGTCTATCTGCTATCGATGATCAACAGTTGATCATTTGCAGTACAAGTTCAGTACCACCATTGATTGTGATTAGTTTTGACGGATTTCGGGCTGACTACCTTCGACGAGGAATCAGGATGAAATCATTAGAGGAAATACAAAAACGCGGAGTCTCTGCCGAGGTTCATAGAATACACCTGATCATCGTTTTCTTCATTCTCAATCTCTTCATTTCTTCGATCATCCATAAGCAAAATGATATATTCAGTCAATTGAATAAATATCATAACTTTCAGTTCATGTATGCGTCATACCCATCTAAAACATTCCCTAATCATCACACGATTGCAACTGGTCTCTATCCAGAGGCACATGGTATCATTGATAACAACATGTATGACGCGAATATTTCACGCGAACCTAACAGCCGTAAATATCATAATGGCGAGCCGGTTGGTTTGTGTGCAAAATCTAAGAGATTATCATGAGTGTTAATGTAATATGGATTAATAAAAAAGCATCCATTTATAATAATTGATTCTTTAAAACAGATATGGGAAGTTGTCGAAAGAAATAACGTCACGGCAGCGTGTATTTTTTGGCCTGGATGTGACTTTGGTAAGATTTTTGTGATCTTTCTCATGGATTTTTCAAATTCATCACTGAACACCTTGATTTATGCTTGAATAAAAGATAACTTGTGGATGAGTTTCATCTTTACCGAACATTATAGAATATGGGCCGACATATAACATCAAATACAATCGCTCACTACCATTCAAACAGCTTATTGACAAGGTGAACAAATGATTTGTTCAACAAATGATTAATTTACATGACAGTTCTTAGCTATTACTATTATTACAGTGCTTCTTTTAACCTTTCAGTCATCTTCATTAAATTGTAAGTTTTCAGATAATTTCATGGTTACAGATCCCAACAACAGGATCTTCTAAGCGACCCGCACTTTTGATGGCTTATTTTAATCAACCAGATACAACGGGGCATTATCAAAAATCAGATGATGATGTTGGCAATTGACTTTGTTTGTTGTTATCATTTCAGTTACGAAGTGAACTGCTATTGCAGATAAGCAAAGCACTGAGGGTAATCGACTCAACACTTAATTATCTCCTCGAACAACTACGTTCACTGAATCTAATTGATTGTGTTAATTTGTTGGTCATCTCAGACCACGGTATTGTCTTTCCAATAATGTCTGCCATCATTTACATCTATTCTTCATTCTTTTTCTTTCAATGATGTGGTCAGAGTCGAAAAAGAAGATTTATATGGAAAGAAGAATTCAGGAATGAAGAAGCTTTCTAAACGGTATTATTTCGATGAGCATATCGATAAGAATGGATTGGTTATCGCAAACGGTGTTATTGCTCGAATTCATCATACCCAAAATTCGAGTCAAACTTTCATTTCTTCTTCATTTCTCACTTCTTGAATGCAGTATGCAGACGAAGACAACGATAAAATGAAATTCAATTGTTAATATCAGCTGCATTATTACCATAATGTTCATCATAATGCTTTGTTGTATTTTGCAGCATATTCATTGGATGAGTTAAAAGAAACGTTACGATGTGCAGATGACTATTTGCTATACGATAAGATGAGCATTCCGAGACGATATCATTTCACTGTTGGGAAACGCATTGGTGATCTCATTATTGAAGGACGACCTGGCACAATTCTCTTTTTGTACGATTTTTCGACGTTTGTTCTGTTGTCTTGGGTTGATGAGGAAATGAAAGAATTAGATGGTCGTTGAAAGAAACTGTTGAATATGACTTTATGTGGATATTGAAATTTACACGACTCAAATGTATTGTAAACTTGAAGATCAAAAAAAGAAGATAGCAACGTGACGGCTGATCATGGATACAACTTTCTGGAAAGTTCAATGCGAACGATTTTTTTCGCACAAGGTCCCGATATCGCAGTCGACGTACGCTTGCCTCCGTTCCAAAATATTGAACTCTTCTCACTTATGAATGGTATTCAGCGTACATCTGTTATAGCATGTTTTCATAACAATTTATCATAAACAGCTGTCATATCAGACATCTTAAGATTTATTACGCTTGAAAGCACCACCAAATAATGGCACTGAAGGCTCGCTTGATGCGGTATTTCGGCATGCACCTAAACGACAATCATCAACGAATTTACGAGCTCTAACCAAATGCATTTCTGAATATTCGTCATTGCATCAGCTCACACCCTGTGGACATTCCTGCAATCTTAGTACAACTGTAAGTGATTTATTCTTCTCAACAACTCCCTTGCAGTTTATTTTGATCATTTTCAAGTGGTATTCTTTGAAATAAACTTCAGGTTGCTTCATTATCTGGTTGTATCAACAATTCGTCGTCATCACTATCATTCTCCAACATGATTATTCGAGGAGATTCTTCTCAATATTGCATAATACCGCTATGCTCGGCATTCATAATCACTTCGGAATCTTCATGTGAATAAATCTGTGCATAATTATGTTTTTATTTTGAATATTTGCTGCTCCATATATTGCTGATGTAAACTGAAATGAATGTTGCTTTTAATCTTATTTGACGAGTAAACCCCATTAAATTTAGATGCAACGAAAATGCTTGTTGAACGCTTGTCGAGTGATGACGATTACAATGAAATGACTAAATCAGTACAATCGGTTGATCAATCAAAATGTTTTATCACTGTTGGTGATCCCCGAAAGTGTACCTGTTCAAGTGGCATTGACGAAGAACTGAATGAACTGCGAAATGAAAGCACTGAAAGGCATTCGTTCGCCGTAAAACAGTATGAAGGTTAGGCGCTCCGTTATGAGCATCACCGTAGCACGATAGTGTTGTAGTGTGCAAATGTTTGGAAGAGATGGTATGCAAGAATTGATACTCTTTCAGGTTATGCACATTTGGACTTGCAAATCGCTCGGTTCACAAATCATTTCTATGGCAGTGAGTTTGGCTTAATGGACTCAACTTCATTTAATTTTAACATCCTTCTCATGCAGCTCATTCTAGTATTTTAAAATGAATAAAATGGAAAACTGAAAAATATTGAGTACCTCTTTCAGAGACATTCAAGAATCTACAAAAGCTGACGGCAGCTTATCTACGCAAATACAAGAAGCTAGTCGTTATGACTGGCACAGTTTACGATCTGGATAATGATGGAGTTCACGACCGAGAATATTCAAATGAATCAGAGTTCATCAATACACCAACACACTTATTTCGTATCCTTATTCGATGTAATGATACTGCACTATGGTCTGTACCGAACGGACAAACACTGTGTAAATCACCCGCAGCCATACGCCTCATCTCATTCATATTACCCCATACAAATAAAGACTTGAACTGTCTGGTTAATACTTGATGATTCGTTTACCTTACCTAATTTCTTCTAATGACTCATCATTGAAGGAGCCTTTGGAAGAGTTGGCGTTGTATACGGCACGAATTCGTGATATTGAACTACTCATGGGCATGGAATTTTTTGGTAATCGAACGATATTCGATTACAGTTCGGCCGTACATCTTCGAACCTACCATCCACAGGAATTATGGGATTTGGCACCAGAAGACAGAGAAATGCGATGAAAATAATTATCAAAAATAGGACACTGCAGTTCCGCTCAAGTGTGGTTATATTCGAACGCTAGAAAAATGTTCAATTTTTTAAACTGTTTATTTTAGTTGTCAGTAATCGTTGTGTCATTTTTTTGGTGTTGTTTTCTTTTTAAGATTTGTTGATTATTCGAGTATGCTTAGATATATTTATGCTTGAAGTTTTGATACTGATTGCTTATCAAAGAAGTGTTTTTACTCGAATATTTTGATTTCGTTAATCAGTGCTATGAATATGTGTGATATTTGTTAATTGTTGCTTGTTGATTATATGTATGCATTTGTTCTTTCATATTTTTACTGTTTCGTTGTAATAAGATGTTTCGTTTTCATTACGTATATATTTTTGTAGCGTTTTCAGCAGAAAATCGAATTTACTGAATAATTATAAGAAGGATATGAGAATACTGATGTTGCCAATGCTTTTTAGCAGCCGAGAGGATTGATTTAATTTGATGAGTCATAAAGATGTGTTTGATTGTTTATTTATTCGAAAAAAATCTTGATGCATGATGCTAATCAATCAGCAAATGAATTTGCACAGTTAGCAGCTAGCTATTGCGTAATAATGCTGTATTTAAAGCAATTATCAACAAATAAAAAAATTTTTTTCACACGTCAAGTATCTTCTGCACATTCATTATTCTACCACTCAATCTGTTGTTCATCTATATTTTTGTTCAGAAGCAATAAGTGTTTTCTTGGGTTGTTTAAAATTTGTAATTGTTTCAGTAATTCTCACAGATAATAACCAAATGTTGTATCATTAGCAATTAACGGTTTAATAAGATTGTTAACGTGTTCAATTTGGTTGATAATATCCATTGAAAACAACCATTATGCACTATTTAACGAGGTAATCATTTGAGACATGCACAAGAAGGAGATGCTTAAGTCCAACCTCCTGCGCCGCGTCGTTCGACTTTCTTATTTATTCGATTACTTTACCGACTCATTAAAGACTTATTGGGTAGTACGATGGTTGTACGTATAATCTTATCATGCGCATATTCATCTAGCTTCCTATTCAATATCCCTCTCTTAAATCATTGTTTTTGCCGTTCTCCCTAACTTCTCATTCGTTATCTGCTGCTACTTCACCTGCAAAAAAAAGAAAACCCAACAAATTCCCACCAACTAAAAACTTCTTCCGTTTTCTTTCTCTAACCTAACCGATTTTTGAACAAGCACCCTAATATATCCACTCGTTTGTCGTGTACTAAATGAAGGTCAATTAATGGTTTCGAACTAATAAAGCTGTATGAAAGGAAAAAATACTAAGGAAAGATGAGAGTATTACTTTCTGGGACAGTTTTATGGGTTGAATCCGGCAATGAACTTTTTTTATTTTCACAGCTATGCACTATCTTTTTTTGACGCAAGTGACTTTGATTTTTTCGATTCGTTCGGAGATTGTCTAATCTTAAGACTCTACCCAACCGTAAAGATGTCTTTGCAGAGCGTAGAAATCCGGATTTCACGTGAAAAGCTGTTCCAGAAAATAACATTTTATTATTTTTTGTTACATAGTGTAAGTATTAACAAAGTGGTTGATTGTACGGTTGCAATGCACAATTCAGAAATGACAGTGCCATTCGACTCATCATTTATTCGAACTGCTTTCATCGTTCTCATAATAAATATTCAACTGATACAGTATTTGAAAGCGACAACGAGCACGTGTATTAGAGCATCATTCGATCACGTCGATTGTTCCAATCATCAATTTGAGGTTCTCTTCGTCTGATTTTCCTTCAGTCTCAACTATCACTAGCAAATTGAAACCTATTCAATAGCCTTCGCGCGTTTTAACTAATATCCACATTTCCGAAGACAGCAAGTTGGCCGAGCAGTCCATGCATGGATCTGATGTATGTTCTTGATAGCCAGTTGCATCTCTGTCGACCTATGTATATCCTAATCCCCATAAATGACACCAATAGATTGTTAATGCATAAAATTATCACAATTTCTAGAGAATATCAACACGAAACCCAAGACGTATGTATCCTGTGTTATCCACCAACGATGACTTCCAGCCAGCTTTATTCACCAATAGAATCCGGTCACTTAATTTGAGTTACAATAATTTCATATCGCTAAACACAAGCTCATTCACTGCATTCCGATATCCAGAATCGCTTGAATCACTGTAACGTTTCATTACTCATTTATTCATCTCTAAATCTTTTCGCCAGTCCATCAGTCAGTTATTTCTTCAATCAACTATCATCTCGTCTCAAACCTTCAACCAAATATAATTCTGAAATCTTTGTTATTTTTTCACTCCTCTGAATTTCGAAAGATCGCATTCCACTTAATTTCAGTGACTTATCGCATAATAAACTCGTTTTCATCGCTCCGTCTGCCTTCAAATCGCTAACAAAGTTAAAATATCTGTAAGTTTTGAAGCAGTAACCATTGATTCTACTTCAATAGTTTGTCATTAACAATAATTAATGGTTTTGAGCACAAAAACGATAAACGGCTGACGTATAATGAATGTTGCGAGCTGATGACATGCACGACGTGATTTTACATAATAGCCTATTTGTGAATGGAACGAAAAAGTCTGAAGAATAATTTCATTTCTTACATAAACCGTCAACAATAACGAAGGCCAACAAAGAACTATCATGACTTATAAATATTTCGAATTTGGATAAGAATTATTGAAATTTGATGATTGTTACATTTAATGGAATGCTACTGATGATAATGATAACAATTCATCACATATAAGTGTTCATTGCTGAAAGTATTCATCAGTTCTCAGTAACTGTCTAGTTACATTAATTAATTCACTTACATAGCACCACAAACAAAGGGAACCGTCCTCTTTCTCTTCTTTATTTCTTCATTCATTCATTCATTCATCATTTACCTAATCATCATCTGTTCCTTCTCTAACAAAGAAACAATAATCATACGATTTGTTGCAACTTATGACCACGAAAATGATATATACACATTAACATCATTCATCATTTGTAAGCTATTTTGAGTTGAAATGATATGAAATCATCAAGTAACTGTTATTCACAATCATTAAAAATTCATAATTGGGTCCATCTTACAAGCACAAACACATATGATGGATGTTGCAATTGAAGGAATTTGAGTGGAAATCGTCTTCACACAGTGAATCGATCAGCCTTTCTGGATCTGTATTCGTTACAAGTGCTCAACTTGGATGCCAATCCTTTCACATCATTTCCAGATCGTACATTTTCAGCACTCCTTAACTTACAGCAAATCAGCATCAGTTCTAATCAATTATTATGCGACTGCCAACTTGTCGATCTTCTTAAATTTATCAATAAAGTACGCGTTAGAGTTAATCAATACTACTCATTACCTTATTATATAAACTGATAGCATTTAAATAGGTAAAGCGGGTGACTGTAAGTGATCGAACGGTTTGCATGTTTCCGATCACGTTACGTGGCAAGAAAGTGGCCGACTTACAGATGAAGACGGTGAAGAGGGCATGTGGTCGAGGTGAGTAGACAGCAGTAGTGATATCTCTATTCTAGTTAAACTATTCTATTCCTATTATATTCCTGTTCTATTCCATAGAATAGAATAGAGCAATTTGCAAGCGAGGAATGCACAGAACAGATTAGAACAGAGCCGTTTTTGAGCCTAAAAGAATAGAATAGAGCAGTTCTCAAGAAAGGGATGCGAGGATAGAATAGAACAGAACAGTTATCAAAAAACGCATAGGATAGAATAGAATAGAGCCGTTTTGAACAGGAATAGAACAGTTTTCAAAAAAGTGGTATAGAGACATCACTAGACATGAGCGAGGTGAAGATAGTTAGGTGGATATCCAGCTTGAAATAACGTTCGTCTTTTCTTATTTCAGGTGATTTTGAACCAAATATTTTCGAGTTAGAACCATCGACAAGATCACTGTTAGTATATCCAGGTGAAGAACGTCAACTGACATGTCGAATCTCGAATCTAGATGACAATATCCGGATGGAATGGCTCAAGAACAACGCACCGATATTGACGACCACCTCAAAACGACTTCAACTGAACTCATCATCCGACAATCAAACCAAGTCATAAATAGCAATCACGCCAACATTTCACTTCGAATAACGTGAATATCTTTACAGGTCTCTAACAATAACGTTTCATCCAGTCGAATGGGACGATGAAGGTGACTGGATTTGTTATGCTGAGTATAAAGGTGCTAATCTTCGTACAAGTGTTCATTTGATGCCTATTTCTGTTAATACCGAATATTGTGTACAGGTATTATGCAAGATGATTATCATTACTTCCGTAATATTATGATTAAAAGTAATGAAGAAGAGAATTGAGATGGTTCTAGGAATGGAGAGCAGATGAGAAAGGCGAATTAATTTGGCCAGTTTCGAAAGAAGGTAGAATCCGAGTGGATTGTCCTAATGGACCGTTGCATGCATCGGCGTATCGACAATGCACACAAGGCAGATGGTCGGCAGTGGATTCAAGTGAATGCGCAATCGCGTCCACACTTACAAAACAACTCCTGAACGCTTTATCTCATTCAAACACAAACCGAGTACAGTCCACTCACACCAAATCATTCAGTCTATCTATCCGACCATTAATTTTATCGTGCTCGCAGCACCATCACCTATTACTGGAGCTTATTCTAACTTCATAAAACATTGCAGTCAATCGATGAATTACTCGAGCTCTTCAATAATATTCCACCAGTCTCTACCGACACCATGTCGGCATTCGAAACACGTCTGATCGGCTGGATTATTGGTAATGCAACTTATGAATGTAATTCGAATCACATACTTCAAGCAATCTCGATCGCTCTTCAATCGAAGCATGCATCAACTGAGTTGGACAGTCGGTTCATTTATTTATTAATTAATGACTCACTTCATCTGCACTTTAATACAAAAACACTAAAAGGTGTCCGACATTTATCACATTCATAGAATAATTTCATCATCGGCAGTATTATTATTGTAATCGAATTTTCAAGGTTCAATGTTAAGAAGTCGTCTACGATCAGTGAAGCTGAACAAATTTCAAAATCGCACTGTCAAATTCAGAAATTTAGCAATATGTGAGCATCATCGTGATAAGAAACAGTCTGAATTAGCTTCTTATCAGAACCCCACTAATGAGGATAAGCATCAGCAACAATTCGGTTTTATATCAGCTTATTCGAATGGTCAATACAATTGTCAGCAACAAGAAAACGTCGAGTTATTACCATCGAATGGTGAATAATTAACCATATTTTTCACTCTTGATTCTCGAGATAATTTTCATCACACATTCATAAGAATAATGTTTCAATCATGATACCTGATATGAATCCATATAGAAGTATGTTCTGAATGCGCTAAGCTCTACGCAGAGAGCAGGCAGCATTGTCCCATCACGAAACAAAGCACTTGTTTATTGCGCCGAATGGTGTTCGTGCTTCATCAAACCGAACCAAATATGTGAAGAAATAATCGTGTTATTGTAAAGGATTGACATCGATACGAATTCCGTGGCATACATTCGCAATGCTCCTACCCTCGCAGACTGTTCTAAAAGTGATTTGGTTATCGAATACAAGCCTTTTCTCAAGCGCATATACAGCCGATGGCAAATGGGTGGCGTTGAACGACGTTTATGGAATTATGATCAAGAGTCAAGTGAAAAAAAATTCCGATGAGCAGTTATTGTCGAGAGATAATCGATCGGAAGTATTAGCTTTGGCAGCAATCTCATTCACATTCCATATTCGTAATCCAAGTGAACAGGTATCTACCGAACGGTCATGCAATAATCCGAATTATCTGCACTCACTCATTCAGTCCAATCAATGAAATAATCTATATTCTACGCAGCACTTGATTTAAAAATGTGCATGCGTTCGAATTCGCTTAAGGAAGTAAATTCCACAACCGCAATGGTTATAGATTGAATTGGGAATATGGCAAGAGAACGAATGGAAACTGGCAAAGCGAACTGAATGCTGGTTGCGGCGAGTTGCGCCGCATTACGTACTAATTCAGTGTACACGCTCACTTGTCACCTCAATTCTATCTCGAAAAACAACTATCACTTTCTTTACAGTGATGCAGAATGCTCAACTTATCGATGGACAGTTAGTGAAATGGAACTACTTTTGGCAAACAAAAAAACGTCAACCAGCAATTTGAAGATATTGCATGCGAAAAGAATATCAACAACTTTTAACTCTGAATATTTCCAAAAGATATTTGTAATCGAAATGTATCAATTTTGTAATGGTCATCAGTGTGAAATCAGTTATCAATTTGTGAACTAGAGCAGATTTATAGAATACTTGTGCAGACATTCTTTCATTATGCATATTTGTGAAATGCGCTTAATGATAACACTTGCAGAGGTATTGAACTGATGTGGTGTATGTACGCAGCGTCCGGATTCCTAGCTTCTTCAATGTTTTTCGTTATTATCACTAATATTTGCTATTTCAGGTTTCTGTGATTTCAATACAATTCTCAATTCATCTAACCAACATACTTTGACTTGTGCTTAAGGACACGTCTTTAGAAAAACTTGAAAAAAATTCAAAAAAAAAAAAATCACATGGATAGCATGCATTAAATAAAAAAAGCATCACACTAGACCCAAATGATGATATTTCATTTCAGTAATGATATAAAAGTTTGTTTGTTAATTTGTACGTTTGTTCTACTGTATGCATTGGCGATCAATGTGTGGAGTAGTGCAAGTTTATGACAAGTTTATATATTCAATATTCAAAGTTTAGGCATCTAGCAACGACTCACTCATCAAAACTGTTTCATATTGTCACGAATATTTGTATCAACATTCTTTCATTATGTACATTATTTACGTTCGGTATAAACGTTGCTCATAATGAATTGTGGTGTCGACTAGAAGGAGCCTTTTTTCATTTTTTCCTCTTGAGCGCTTTTTATTGGCTCATGTTATCCATACGGTAAGTAGCTATTTCATTTTCAGAATCCTATTCCGATTTCGAGTTAGATTTACATTTTCATGGGGATGAATCCATGTGCATCTTGCTATTATTCATTTCAGAGAGATTGAAAGATTAATTATTCGACAACTATCAAACAACGACAGCACCAATCATACTAATACCCTTCCTCCTGATTTGGAATCAAACCAATTTAATCTTCTGAATAATGTTAGTGGTTGTTTACCTGTTCACATCTAGAAGCTTGCTGAATTTCATTTATTGCCAAATATGAAATATTGCTTCCTATGATCATTCGTATTATTTAATCTGAATAAGGTGTGAGGATATGGTAGTTTAGGCGAGAACAAGTGCACCAATAGCGGGTCTATATTTTCTAGCGTACGGTATTCCACTTTTTGCTGTTTCATTTTCGTTGGCCGTCGATGCAAATTCATCTCCATACAAAGCTTTATCACAAAGGTTGGTTGCAGAGTATGTTCGATGACGAAGACAAACAATCATTTTCGATGCATAAGCTTGTTTTCGTCGTCTGTTTCCATTTATTCATGAAACAGTGATATCGATGATCATTATACTTTGCAGTGATTGCTTCCCATCGAGTATCATCCAATCAAAAGTATTTCAATTCACCATTATTTTTCCATTTTCGATCTCATTCATTCTCATCGTTGCTTTCTATGTTTTCGCAAAATATCAAATCGAGCGACATATCTACCGAACTCAACGACGCCCTCTTGAACAATCGAGACCCACTTCAGGTTGCTGTTCAGTTCGTGCCTCACATTCGAGCTTTCTCGTTATCAAATAGAAACACAGATTGTATGTATGCTACAACTTTTCATCTACCTGTAAACCGTCTTTATAATCAATGCAAAAATTTTTTTAAGGTATCAATGCGGAAACGGTCAGATCGTCGTCGCATAATTCGACAGTAGTGTTACTTAATGATCAGGATGGACTGGATGCACAATTTCAGCTTAGGTTTCACTGCGATTTTCGAAATGTTTACTTGAGCAGAATATTCTTTTAGGATATTTAGTAATTCATCTTCATTGTAGTGGCTTCTTAACAATTGCGATTCTGCTATTGGGCGTTTGCTGCACGGCTTCAACCTATGTACGATATGCATCAGATCATACCCAGACGTACCGCCATCATTCTATTGATGATGATGATGATAATTTCACGTCTCATCGTTACCGAAACTACCAGCACGGCCATACAATTCGCATGCTTGCTTCAATTCTCTATTCATTTTTTTCATGTGCCATTGCCTTAATCATGTTTTATATTCATTCTGCTAGGCACTTTCAACGCCTATGGCACTTCAAAAATCAACTTCATCAGGATAATGTCAAACATTGCGGTCAAGAAGCGATGCAGTATGGAGCAAGAAAAATCTATGAACGCCAGCGATGTCAGTTTTCTTTGGATTCATCTAATGTTCAGGTGATAATTATGAAATCACCAATCATCCTCGAGCAATTATTCAGTCACTGTTCATTTACTCACTGTTTATAGATAGATATAGATTGTTTATTGCCGAGTAAGAAATATGTACAAGCAATAATACAGCATGAAAGGCGGAGCGCACAGTTTATTCATTTATTTTATGACTTATTTAATCAGCAATTACAACTCATTGCGATTTTATGCTTCTCTGTTGTCACTAATATCACCAATACCGCATTCATTCTATTATTCCTTCCGAGCAGCTAAAGATATTAGCATGGCGAATCAACCGGCTTCATGAGTCTAACATCGATTATTGACTTGGTGAGGATAGAGGCGTAGGGCTATCCTCCCATACTGTCCAGTGATTTTTAGGGTGAGACTCAAAATGAGCCTGAAAATACACTCCGATTGAACATGCGTCCAATAATGGTTTAGAGTAGTTATTTGAAACAATCGACAATAGGAATTCAGTTATTAGTAATAAACAACAATTCTGATTAAAGTAATCGGGAAGATCCATATTGACCGGCCTGTTGAGCATTCCATAACTGAGCTATAATGAACTTCCGATGTCATAAATACTTTTAATGATTTAACACGGTTGATATGCAATTCAATAAATAATCATAACCACGACAAACATTTTGCCGATCGTCCAGAGCGATTGGCAAACTAGCCGTTCAGTGTCCAAATAACAAGCTCCCTCTCAGGACGCGATCACCGAAGGAAGTCTCGTGATGCTGATGATATCATCGTCAAACAAACCCCTCGATATCAATCCTCACTTATTTTCATCGTCAATTCGTGAAAGCTTCACAAACGGCATCAATACGAACGACAGTGCACCACATCTTCAAACGGATGACCTCAACGAAAGACGTAACGAAATGGCTTCTGTGTCAATAGCAAATTCCTTCTCGTTATATAACAATCAAACTGGACATGATCATCTTTGATTTTTTTATTTTTAATTGTCATCGGTATTATTTTAAATGCAAACATAAAATAACACAAAAATCAACAACGGCATAAAACAAAACAAACTCAATTTCAACAAGAGGACGATTTATGACTCGAAAAGCTTCTAACTTTGTAAAAACTCGTCCGTCAAACGAGCAAATGAAAGGCTCGTTTGTTTGTTTGTTCCGTATACGGTTATGTTTTGTTTTGTTCCAGATACGTATATGCATCGAATATAAAAATAACACGAACGAAACGTACAGATGCGGATGAAAGTATAAATACATTCGTAACAGTAGTATTGCTGCTGATAGCGATACAATAATTGATGCAAAAAATGAACTAACATCAATACAAATCAGATTCAAATTACATGAAATGGATAGAATTTTTTACATATGACTTTGAAAATAAATATGAAATAGCTTTTTGATAAAACACTGGTCACACATACACAACGACAACATGTATAATAAAACCACATCGAATGGCAAGCAGATAATTATTACCAAAAGAAAGATTATTAATACAATTTAGTTGAGGTATATAAATATCATTCATTCATATAGCAATAGAATAATGTTTTTTGTTAAAACTGAATATGAGTTTGCAAATCGCAACGTTGATCGTTCAGTTCATTTCATATTCTCCACTCGTTAAGCTTTCGAAGGCTAAATTGACCACTATATGCGAAGGAATCGCCTTGAATCAATTACGGAATAACAATAATGTTAACAGCAGCAATAACAATGATATATACAGTAAACCAGAAATCAGCAGCAATGTCATATGAGTAAGAGAAAAGTGTTTTTTATGAAGCAGTGAATCGTTGTTGTGATTGAATGTCAGTAGAATATGAGGATGATGTAGTGACAGAGTTACTTTGTACAACACCTTTATGCGCTGTCGGTGCCACATTTACACATTCGATGTGGCAAAAATCTGCGATACCACCTAAACCTTCGGCACTCGACATACCCGACGACCCGCCACGGCCACTCGAACTTGAATCTACCGAATGACGTCGTTGGTTACTTACAACCGCATGATGCGTCGACTGGCTACTGAGATCATTGAGTGCGCCTCGATTCATACTCTTCTCCAACCTCAATTGATTAACTGAATTAATCAAATGACAAACGCAAAACAGATCATCAACAATACTTCATCCCATCATATCATTAGTGCTTACGTATCTGCTTCGGTAGCATTGAAAACTGGCGCATAGCTTTCGGTCGTTGACGTAGTGTTCAGATTGTTCAACATGGACAGTTGAACGGCATCTGGCTCGTATGCAGACGAGTCAGAAAATCGTGTGTGCCTTTGTGGAGGGAATGGGAACATTGATTGGAAAAGTTTGCCTGCAATGAAACTTGACGCTGTAAGATGGACGCAAACTCTACGACCAGAATTCATATTAATTCCATATTAGAAACATTATTTAAAATGTAAAATATTTTAATCAATTAAATACCTTTTTGTGATCCGTTCTCGTGAGCCAAATCAGTATAATGAGACTGAAGTCGATCGTCACTATATGTGGCATTATCAGCGTTTGTTTGATCATTATTTGGGAAAAAATTTGGTTGTTGTTGATTTATGCTGCCTTCGTTATTATCACTATCCTCTTTAGCAGTGCTAGTAGCTTCATTACTAACAATATCGTTGTTGCTAGTATTGCTGATAATATTATTACTATTGTTATTATTAGTGTTAACGGAGGCAAGATGAGGAGTTTTTGTGGTAGCGTTAAGATGCTCATTGGAATCAGAAGGTGTTCGATAAGGATCTAATCCGTCAAGAAGCATCGATGTGTGCATATCGATTGGCCACGAAGGTGAACCAATAGCACTGTCGACGGACATTGTTGCCGTACTATTCAGCTTCTTCGCACTACTCAATCTGAAAGACGAAAATGTAAAATCATACAATTCGCATCGATTAAGAATGAACAACTGACTGATTGGATACGGAACGAAAAAGAATTGAAGAGAAACAAACGAACGATGAAGTAATTGGATCAGGAACCGGTAGTGGAATGCCAGATCGTCTGACGAATGCGTATTGTACAGCTGGTCCATCCTCAGGAGTATATACAACAGCTTTTGTGGCACCTGATAAGAGTGGACGTGAAACAGCACAATCACAATCCTCCAAATCATTCACTTCCGAGTCGAAATCATCGATTACCTAAAGGTGTTATTCGCTCATTCAGGTTTTGTTATATCAAGCAACGAACTGATTAACCTCAGATGCATAAATAACCGGTTCGGAAAGAGGACGTATTTTACGGGAACGTTTCACAAGACTGTTGCTTGCTGCACTGATCGATGGCAACGAGGATGTTTCTTCGTTGCGAGTCATCATCTCTTCGTCATTGTCCGTCAGTAGTTGTTGCTGCTGGCTTCCGTCCTCATTCGAAATTGACTGCACTTCCAGATAATGCTTAAACAACCGAATCGATCATCAGTAAATCAATCTCGCATTTCAGTTCTTACCTCATTGTCTTTTGCCGAATTTGTCAGTATCCAATCAAAATAATCAACGAGCGTCACAAAACTGGGTCGGCGTTCTGGACATTCCTGCAATCGAAAAACGATATGTCATATCACTAGAGGATAATAAAAAGGTTCTTTACCTGCCAGCATGCAAGCATAACTGTGTAAATGGCATCTGGGCAATTATCAGGTGCCTCCATACGATAACCCTCTTTCAGGCATGAATACAGTTGTTGCATAGCAATCGACGGATACGGTGTTCCTCCCAACGTCATTATTTCCCACAATAAAATACCAAACGACCAACTGAAAAAGTCGCAAACACTCGTTGTTTATCATCTTAAATTTTGAAGATTGACGAAACCAAACTTGCAGATCGCTTACACATCACTAAACATCGTGTACACATGCGAGTCGAGCGCTTCTAATGCCATCCATTTGATCGGCAATCGACCATTACCCTTTTTGCGATAATAATCATTATAATGAACATCACGTGACAAACCAAAGTCTGATATTTTCATCACAAAATTGTCACCAACAAGAACATTTCGAGCCGCTAAATCACGATGGATTATCTGCAAGGATCACGGTTCTCATTAATGTCGCAATGCTCTTGTACAAGCATGTAACGGAAAGCTTTCTTAAAGTGCTCAAGTCAAAACCAAGAGAATAAGTGAACGACTGACTTTTCGTGCTGCCATAAATTCCATTCCCTTAGCTACTTGCCATGCGAACTGTACCAAATGGCGTTGAGTCAGATTCTTGATCAGTAACGGTCCTTCAGAATCAGAAGACGAATTCGACAATGAAACTTTTCCTGATGATGGCTTCCTTGGCTCCAAATAAGCTTCACTACTCAACGCTGGTGAATCCTGCACTACTCGATTCGCCGAATCCGTATCGCGTGGTCGATGAGCTCGTAGAAAATCACTTCAAAATTTACATACTACTACTTTATTCAATCATTTTTTGTGAACAATTAATTAATCAACATGAATGCTACATGACGTACATGTATATCGTGTTTAGTTTATTAGATACCAAAACAGTTGAATTGGAAACAAAAAACGAAATGAACAAATTAACAAAACACACCGCAAATTTCCATGCTTGCACAATTCCAAGATAACGTATAACGGTCCAGCACCCGTACAACAACCGATTAATCGTAGCAAGTTCTCATGATGACCAATTATTTTAAAAGTTTCCATTTCACTAACCAAATCAATTAGCTCTTTCTCGTGTGCTGATGCCTTCAACTTTTTTATCGCGACTGGCATCTGAAAGATAAGTAAAGGAACAGGAATCATGCAAATGAAGCGAGTCATCAAATGATCAAATCACTGCCTGATTACTTTTCAGGTTATTTAGGTAGAGAAGATTACCTCTGATTCGTTAGGATCATTCTGTATGATTGCATTGCATTTTGGTGGTGGTTTAAGGATTGCTTTCCAAACTTCTCCAAAAGCACCTTCGCCAAGCATATCAACAAATCGAAGTCTGTAAGAATATCCTCATTCGCATACATACAAATATTTATCGATAAAAAGTGTGATTCACCTTGACCGATCCACTTCCCATGCTGGATCCGACTGAATTTCGTAATCAGAAAGAAGTGTCAAATCACTTGGTAATCGCGGTCTGCGATGTGAAGACGTGATGGGTTCAATGTGAATCTGATATGTTGACGGCATATCTGACCATCCATCGGCTTCGGATGGATCAATCGCTGGCTTTGTTATCACAACCTATTAGTGAGTAGTCATTTATTTGTTCTTTGTTGCAGTCATAATGCAAACTGAAGCAAATGAACTCACTCGTTTCTTAACAGATGGAATTAGTTGTTCCATTTGAGCGATGTGTGTTTTTGAGTTACGTTTAACACATAAAACGTAAAGAAGTGCTGCACAAATCAAGAGTGTCAAGAGAACGATGCAAATGATCAACGCTAGAATCGAAATCCATGACCATTCAGATTCTGGATCACCAGTGGCTAACGTTAGAGCGTGGAACTCATTCACCGTTAAAGTTGCGTTCGCTATTGCCTTTAATAATGTGACAGTTTTTAGTGTTGTTATTTATTGCTCATGAACGATGATATTGTTTGTAAATGATGGCGAGACATTAATAAATGAATAAAGCGTTTACATGTCCCAAATGATTGCCTGAAACACACGCGTACATGCCTTGATCGGCCATAGTTACATTCACAATTGTTAAGGTCGACGAATCTTGAGAGGTTTTCGTTATGAACGCATTCTGAAAAGATTTATTTCATTTTATGGTGCGTCTCAAGAAAGAACGAGAATATTGCACAAATAAAAACCTCGACAGTACGCATATCCGTATATCGGAAGACATATTTACGATCGGTTGCATTCCAATAATAGATGGAATCGTTGGTGAGTTCAATGCGCATCCAAACGATATGTGGAGTCAGATCAGATATCACCTCAATACATGGAATGTTTTACTGGATATCTTTTGGCTACTGGATCCACAGTAAAGTGATTGAAAAAGTCAAATTTTGAAGGCAAAGTGCATGTGCGTTTACCTTACACGTGAAATTAACAGTACTGTTCGCATCGACCGTTTGATTGATGAGAATATTCGGTACAATAATGGGTTTCGATCGCATGCGGTCAACGACGCGTAACTTGAACGTTCGTGTTACTGAACCAGCTGAATTGAATGCCTAAAAAACTGATATTAAAGTGGTCCATTTGTTGTTCTTTAGTATCAAACCGACACAATGAATTCACACTTCTTTCAACGTAGGAATTGTTTTTATGCAATCTGTCAAAGCAATATAAACCTCGCATGTATAATCGCCAGAATCCGATTCAGCTACATCCTCCATTTCAAGTGTGTTTTTCCGAAGTCGGAATTCAGCGCCCACAGGACGACGTGCCTCTGTTGTGATGACCTTTTTATTGCTATTGAACCATATTACCTGAATGAATCACATAGCTATAATCAGACTCGCTATTTATCAATTCCACACCACTACAGTCCCATCCATCCTCAAACTGCAATGAATATTTATTAACAAGAGCAAAAAAAAACGAACGCACCTGTGGCTCTGGTTGTCCACCTGCTTTACACTGTAGTTTGATGGTTCGTCCAGAAGGTGTAATCACTGATGTGGCTGCATCCTCATCTCGAACTTTGAAGTACGGTGGAACTAAAATGAAATAAACGAGCGTTTTTATTTGGAGTTCAGTTGAGTTCTAGCTAACGATTGCCTATGAGATCAAAGTTCTGTGTTCACAAGATGAATTCAGAATTAATCATGAACACAACAAAGTATTAAACTCAAAATTAGAAGTAACGGAATAATACCTTTTTGAGGTGGGAAAGAGAGTCGCGTAGTAGGACGAGCAGTGGTACTGGTAGTGGTGGTGGGTGGAAGTGTTGAAGATGAAAACAGAGTGGATATTCTGCGATTATGATGAATGAAGCGATAGCGTTGATTATCAGACGACGGCTCATCGTTCACAGGCATCTCGAACGGTAGTTCACCATCCTTGCGCGTATATACCAGATGGTCTTCAACTGGCCGAAACTCATTATCCCCACCCTCCTGTTCTCGAACTAGACCATCAACCGTATTATTTTCACTGAGATGATCATCTCTACCCTGATGTTCTCGAACTGCATCTGAATCTGTAATGTGTGATACTGCTATACCTTTCGCCTCCTCTATATCATCATCATCATCTGCTATCGATGCTCGTTCAGAATCGTCGAAATGATGAAGTAAGACGGTTCGTGTTCGAAGACGTTTCGCGGCTGCATCTAAAGAATGCCAGTCAGCAAGAAGCGGTTGTAAAGCGTTGAGTTTTGATCGTGACAACAAATTTGGCAGTATATAACTGACATCAGCCATTTGATTTGCACTCAACCAATCGAATAATTTTACTGGATCTGAAATGTAAATATGAACGGAACAATAAGCTTACCATTGTTATTCTCAGAATTATCAGTAGATGATATTGATTGATGAGCAACATGTTGAGATAATATCGATAATGAATGATGCTGAAGTGTTGCATCAGAATGAGTGGAACGATGAATAGTTGTGGGAACAGATTCTTCAAGGGCATTCGAATAGTGTTCATGCATGAAGTTATTGGGTACAGACTCATGCAAACCAATGCCATGCAACACCACTGCATCTGCTGATGTGCTGCTCACTGTTGACGTGCTTATTGCATGTTGTGATGATTCGTGAGAGGATAACGTCTTCTCACTCTCATCCTCATCATCAGCAGCAGTTGAACGCACACTACACGGTGCATTCGCACATAGTTTCTTGCCGAAAGGTTTCCGCATCTTCAGTGCATATTTCCTGTAGTTGTCGCAACTATCCTCACTAACCGCTCCCCAATCAATCCCTTCTTTGCGATGCTCTCCACTCAGAAACCATAAACAAATGCATTTCTCGGGTACTTTTGTCGATGGATATTCGTCCATTAGAAAATAATCGCAAAAGTCTAAATCAACATTTCACATCAATATAACAACATGCAATTAAGGACACAAACAAAAATCATTTCATTGATCCGTAACTCAACCAATCAAGCGATAAAAAACGAACACCATGCAACATAAAAACAATCAACCTTACGATAATAAGTTAATCATGCAAAAACTTTCATTCATTCCTGATGATCAAATAAAATTCACAACCAAATAATCTAATGAATGCTCGCTAACCGATAATTTCGAGTGTAAAGTTTCTAAAAATTGAGCCAGCTTGATTCCAGACTTTACACGTCCATGAACCCTAAATGGATGATATTTTAAAAACAATACATATATACACTCAAAACATTCTATCATTTCCTTCCTTATACAAGAATAAACTGTACAGTAATATATAACTTTATGGCTGTTAGCTAAGTGAACGGTTTGGTGTTATATGAAGTACATGATTGGTTCAAGTAACTGGTAACAATTCGGTCCAATTATGAGGTTAATCGTCTTAATAATGAATACCTCCATTAAGATCAAACTGATGAAATGCTCAACTACCTTCCGATCATACCAGATAAGTCATACCTGATCTCCGACCTCAACCCGTCGAATTTCCAACGAGAAATGCTTTTTATTTTCGCGAAGTCTTTCGTTTCGTGACAGCATCGTATAATTTAGAAATTCTCCATTTCTATACCAATGAATCTAGAATGCAAATTTTTAACTATTCCTTTGACCAGTCACAGTATCTGTCTATGCAATGTCATCAATATACCAAATACCAACTATTTATCATATTTATGATCGTCAAGATGAAGAGTAATTGTCAACGATTCATTGCAGAGCTTGCGCTGTGTTCTCATCACTTCGGAGCCCCAATTCGCTTCAGATCTAGACGTTTACTGCTGAATTTATCAAGCCAGAGTCTAATAACCGAAATGTGAACTGCTTATTTCTTGCTGCCAACTCATTCAATCTCTATTCAGTTTATCAACAACATGCAACTGTTTCATTTGCTCCCCCTCTCTACCACTGTTTGGTGCCTTCGATCAGACGATACAGTCTATTAATCACTTATTGCTTCCTATTATTGTTGCCTTTCTTTTGTATTACTACTATGACTAATGCTAAGTTGTAGTGATGGACACGCTACTTTGAAGTAGCGTAAAGAAATCCAAATTGGTCATATTTTTGCTCCTCCTAATTTGTCAGGCAGACTCGATTTCTGTGATCATTCTTCGTCAAATATCTGGAAGGCCTCGTGTAGAAAGAAGTTGAAGTCTGAAGTTTGCGCGTGAGCGTTTTCACCAGTTTTACTGATTGGTAATCCCATCCAATGTAATATATTCTTGCAGAACGTGCTCCACATGATATGGTAAACTTTTCGATTTGTGTTCACTTTAATCCACTTAAGCCATGATTTTTGTCTTTGAAGTAATACTTCACAGCAGTATTTTAATGAACTTTTATTTCTCAATAACTTAGAGTTGTGTTGAGAAATGTGATGAAACTTGTGCGATAAAAACGCTTCTGAGAGTTCAGCGACTAAACCGCTTTCGTTTGAGCAGTTAAGAGTGATTATACAGACAAGCTGGAAGTCTCGTCCCTGGACCTCTAAAATGTCTGTGGTTCAACTTATTGTTGGTTTTCTTGAAAACTGCCTTCGTTGTACTAGTTCTCTGCTGACGAGATATAGAGAATCAGAGAGAAGGAGGTGTTTATTGAGACAGACAATGAGCTGAAACCTTTAACTTCCGTTTCTGTTGGTTAATCACGCGAGGCGACCAGGAAGTTTACAAATTATGCAAGATGAAATCCTCAGAGGGACCGAGAAACGTTTTTGGCATCAAAAAATTGGAAAATCCT